GGTCCTTATCTCAACTCATGAGCCCTTTGTTAAAGTTTTCCCTCTTCTGCCCAGCTGTGGCAGGAGAGGGTGAGAGAGTGTCGTGGGGTGCCTGGCATTGGGCCAGCGTCAAACAACAACAGCAGGTGATGCAGTCAATGACAAGAGCCACTGCTGAGGAGAGCCAGGAGCCTTGTGCTGACTGATTTTTAAGCATGCATAAACCTGATTTGCTGGGGGAGAGCTGCAGCCATATCCCCCAAGATGTGCACATGGGGAGTCTTTGATTGAGCTTCCTGAGTGTTTTCTACACTCATTCGCCATAGACAGTACAATTCTTATTACAGCAAATATGTGACAGATGGTCATCCCAGTGAAAACATTCTTTTCCATTCCTCTCCTTTTGGAACTCCATAATACTAACTCATGGACATTCACATAAATTAAACTTTCTGAAATGGAAACTTATGTACAGTGACAGACAAGTAAGGGAAAAAACAGAGCTATTTTTCAGAGATAGATACAGATTAGATATCGATAAACTAGCACATTTACTACATATATAACAGGGGTCTGTAACCTTAAATTTCTGTACCTGGAGGATCTTGGCAAATATAGCAGGTATATTTCTCAGGTATATTATCTTCCAATAAGCCCATACAGACTCCATGCTGCCAGCACAGACACTCTTCACACTGTTCAAAGTCAAGAAGTGCACATTAATAGAAATGAAGGCTAGAGGAGCTCAATACCATTACGTCAAGTAAGAAACACAGGATCTACATATTTTAAGACAAAAAGTTCTATTAATATCCACACCCCACCTTCCACTTACAAGCAAATACATTACAGAATCAGACTATAATAAAATGTGAGCCCTCCCCACACATTTTTCATGTATGTTTTTGGAGAATGAAAATTAAAAAGTGGAAGCAGAGATCCTGAAAGGCACAAAAATACTCCCTTTAGACATGAAAATCTTTCACGAGATGCATGTACACATAACCAGGACAGCCAACAGGGCAATCAAACTTTTTTCACCACAACAGATCAATTTTTCTGAATTCAAAGGCTTCCCCCTCAAACAGTAAACCACATTCAATTATCAAATCCCAGAGATATTTATGTCACAAAGGAATAGCCAATATTATGCTTTACTGATTCTTGTACCTCCAACATTTTATTCATTTCAAAGGTAGCTCTACCAACAAAAACCTGCCATGCAGATGCACCAGCTTTAAGAGCTTCCAACATCCTTCCAAGGCAGGACAATCATACTGGCATGTAATTTGGATCTCTTTAGTACAGTTACACTATTTAAAATGCAATCACTGTTCTTAAAGCCATGCTCTTTTAGAGCAGGAAAAAAACTGTTCATGTTTTGCCATTTTCTCCTCCCATTTTAATGAGACAAAATTTTGATTTTAGACTGCAGACCACTGGAACATGCCAACAAAACCCCACTTAAGAACATTAAGTCAATTTTGACTGGAAACTGATGTCAGTCAAAAATTACTTTTCCCAATTAATTTTGCCAAGCAGTGAGACAACAGATCATATACCCCTTATTCCTCAGAGCATAAACCAAAAGCAGAAATGTTGTCAGTGCTGGTACAGGACTACAATATGAGCTAAACCAAACCCAAACAGTAACTGCAAGGAATCTAACATGTTGCTCTTCACTGACCTACAAAGATGCCAACTTGCTAAACATTTCATCTGTGTTCAATATCACTTTAATTAATGCTCTTAGCTCCTGCCTTCCTCAAGCTAGGAGGGACAGAAAAGGACAACCAGACTTTGAATACTTCACTGCATTAAATGAGTGGTCTAGGTGTGAAGGAAATAGAAGCTCCGGGAATGGAGAATGTTGAAAACTACAATATAATATTGGCTTTCACATTTATGTATTAGCTTTTGCATGCTGGTATTGACCATAAATATTTGGATATAGTACAATGTATAATTTTATTTAGCTGTTCATTAGTATAATATAATCTATTAGTTTAAGTATATACTGTATAGTTTATAGAAATAGTGGCGTGATGAATGTATTGTATCATAGGCCTTAGCAAAACCATGCAATGTTAAAATGCTTCTATGTAACAAAGAACGGTGGGAGACAATTATGTTGGTTCCCAGATCTGCTGACTGACTTCTCCAAGAGGTAACAGTGACAAAAACCAGAGCATCAGAGAAGAACAGTAGAAGAAATAAAACATATCTACCTGATTCACAGGATGTCATGCAGATAAGTTAGAGTGTAAAGAAAACAAACAAAAGAGTTGCTGAAACATCAAAAGCTCACAAGAATCTCTGAATAATGTATGAAGCACATGAATATGTATGTGCCTCAGTAATGTAACAGTATACAGACAATACTGTCAGAATTTACCGGTGTGCTTTTTGGTCAATTGCCAAGGGCATCCCAGTGCTGGTTAATTTTTATTTTTGTCCTTGTTTTATCCCTTATTAAACTTAAAAAAAAAAATCCCAAATCACAGTTCTCGTTTTTCACAGATAACGTTAACAGGTTACAGAGAAACAGGTTTCTGAAGGATGGGACCAACAATGCTTTGCCGTCCAAAATCGGTTAATAGTCCTAAGGCAGTTAGGAGATGTTTTCAAAAAAGGTAGAGACAATCCTCCGTTTACAAATTAGAGGCAGAAAAAGGTTTTCTAAAACAAAGAAGACAGATCAATAGAAATAGACTGTGTGCTAAAAATAAGAAGGGAGCTCCTGGATCTACTTACCCTGCATCCTACAAATCATGCCATACTGCACAGAGCTGTGCTCAGTGATTTTCCAGGCAATTTTGCCCAGAACTCTGGTGAAGCATCTGTCCTGGGTTACAAATGGGGATATAACCAAACTATGCATTGTACTCCAAACATTATTCCTGATGAACTGTTAATGCTGGGTCCCTTACAAGAGCTGCCCAGTGCACACCCGGCCCCCAGGCTGCAAGTGTTAGATAAGGGGAAGAATATCATTCCATTGTGAAATTCTCTGCCTGTATCTGACCATAAATAGTCTGGGTGCTTTGGGGACTTAGGACACCACGGACAGATCCAGAGGAGGATCTGAACTTCCACAGAAGGACTAAACCTCTCACAGGACCACTGCTCTCTTCAACCATCATTTCCACAGGGCTGCTGTCACTGTTTGACAGGACTGAGACCACCACCCTGAACAACAGGGTACCAGGCTGTAGTCTGACTTTGTGGGTTTAAGCCAGTTTTGTATCGTTGCATTTACTGTAGTCTTTCTATTAAATTGTAACTCTGACCTGAAATGTCTCTCAAGGTATTGTTTGGGGTTCATTTCTCCTGCTGGTTTACTTTCAAACCAGCACAAGCATCCCAACTTTTTAAAACTTTACTCAACTGACATTTAAATACCCACCCCTTTGGGGCACAGGTCCATTCTTTAACCTGCAGGTTTTACTGCACACTGCGGCTGCCAGGCTACAAGATACTGGTCTGGCACATGCTACTGGGAAGCTACTCCCTGCCCAGGTGGCAGCAGGGAGGTTCAAAGCATGCCAAGCAGAAAATTTAGAAGAGAAAAAACACATAGCGTTGTGCAAAAAATACTCAAATTTAAATTGAAGTCACAAAAGAAATAATCAAACTCAAAAGATGTGTATTTAAAGCAGCTTTTCACCTTCCATAATAAAAATATCTGAAGTCTGTTTACATCCATCACCTCTGAAGCCATCAAATCTAGCCCCAAAATTTTCTGCATCATACACAAATTCACCAGTGTTTAGGTATAAAAACTAAAAAGAAGGGACAATGACAGTCTGTCTGGAATTCTTTGGGTCTCACCACAAAAACTGAGTGCTGTGCCCCCAGAAGGAACACAGGGCAATGCTACACTGCTGCTTTACACCAGGTCCATAAATGAAGTCTAGTAACCTTCCTGCAAAGTTATAGAGACTGGGACAAAACAGCACTGACCAACAACACACTATTTTTCTGTACTTCTTTTCCAGATTTAACTTCTACTAACTAAAGCAGATACTTCTATAAATGCAAACTCAAGATTTCTGCATCCCGGTGCAAGGAATGGCATGCTTAATGCACAAATTGCTCAAGACAATGAATTTAAGGTAAGTACAGGTCGAAGAAAATTTTTTATAAAATCTTCTGAATGTGGGGGCAAATCATTAGTTTAGATATCTAAAGGAATGAACTCCCAATTTAACTGTGTATGAGTTTCATTAAACCTTAATGCCACCCAATCTTTCACAGACAAGAAGGTGCTGATGTTTTTAAAATCAACATTTTCCTGCATTATTTCTAAATGTGGCACATTCATGGCAACGAACACAGCTCAAGAAGAATGCTTAGCATTCTCCCTCTTGTAAGAGGGGGGATATATGAATACTGGGAGGAATGAACCTCCAAACAGATCCATCAAGAAACTGCCCTGGCTCCTCATTCCGGTATCAAGATGGGTACACAGCAAACACAAGCAGGTACCCCAGGTGTCAGCATTTTTCCTATTGCCTCAATCCCTATAAAGAATGCAGGTATTCACAATACTGCTGATCTGCATCCGTTTTCCAGAGAGAATAACCTACTCTTCTAGCCAATTTCCTTCACAAAATAGTTCAAGTGTTTAGAAGTTTGCAATATGCTAAAAAACCTCCCCGAAGTAGTTCAACCTAGCCAGTCAATCTCAGAAGCAGCCATGAAATTTTAAAGGAAAGGCATCCATAGGGTGTCCTGAGCCAGCTGACAGCTCCCTACATTCTGCAATCCTCACCTGGTGTCAAACTTACTTTTGCCAGTTATTCTCCAGGCTATTTCTTTGTCGTTTTTTGTGAGCCATCTCCTCAGAGGCATCTACCCACCCTCTTTAGTCACCATTGCCAGACTCAATTTTTCTCCTGTACAGTCTAGTGCTATTTAAACTTGACCACTGCCCATCAGTCCACCCTGCCCTACTAATTCGTAAGGTACCTTTTGCCCTGTATTGTCAGGATCCAACACTAGAACCAAGGTGTGAGAAGTGAACTCACCACTAAGAGAAAAAGCATCATACCTCTCACAGCTAGGATCCATGAAAGAGCATGGAAACTCAAAGAAAATTAATTAGAGCAAAAAATAATGAAGAAACTGAATTGATCTTTTTTACTTCATATTTTGAAATTAAAAGAAACTACGTGGAATATTTCTAAGTAGCTACCTAGGGGAATGATTTCCTGATAATTTACAAACATCTCAAAAAGTAAACAGGCAGGTAACTTCCAACTTTTTATCAATAGTCATAAGCAGGAGAGATTAATAGAAGCCTTTTCAATTTTTCTGTGGAGCTGGTTTAAAAAGAGCAGGTACATGGGGAATCGATAGATGGCCTTAGCCAGATTAGGAACTTTGAATTTGCAAACTACTGCAAAATGGACAAATGCAGTTCTGCTTTAAAACGAAACACTAAAGTAATTTTGTTTTTCTTTGTTCAGCCTGTCTGGAGAATTGTATGTGTAAGTCAAGCTTCTTTCCAGGGCAGAGGAACGGGAGGTATACTCCTATCTCATGGCAATGTTCTGAACAGGCTCTAAATTAGAGGGAGCCTAAAATGTCACTGATTTCAAATATGCATTCTCAGAATGAAGGAAGTCTTCTATTTTTAGAAAAATTCACAAATGACAAACCACTCATTTATGACTTGGAGTGAATTTTCCCTCCTTCCTTCAACCAAAAATCCAAAACTGTACTATGAAGCAAAAGTTAACTATCCTAGCAGTTACCTGACAGATTACCTCCAAAAATGATATGACTTTGGAAGACAACAATAGTTGATTTCATTTACAAAACCAAAGTTTCTCCACTGACACCTTCCACTGCATTCACTGAAACGTGCATTTACCCTCCACTTCATACCTGAATCATGAAGTCATTTTCTTCTTTTACTTCACAAACACACCGAACAATCTCAAAATCACTTTCTTCAACTTCTTCATCAGGGTTGGTGGTTACATCAACATCCTGACTGCAGTCATCATCACTCCAAGGCAAGCTATCCATAGATGACTCACTCAGGGTGTCATCCTCTGTACAAGAAGTATTTATATAAAATCCTGAGTAATTACAAAAAAGGTCCCTCAAAATCTCATCCAAAGTATGCAGACATACATTCCTAAAAGCATGAGTTCACTGTCTAATATAAGGAATATTACAATTTTAACAGTTTATTGAAGGTTACTACATACTGGTTTTATAGTCTCAATAATGGCTCCTTCAAAATATTCCAACTTAACAGCTTCTGTCATTACAACCGTACTGTCAACACACAGTGCCTCAAACCAAAGCACCAAGTCTCTTCAGACAAAACTAGAAACAAAACCAGAAACAAAACCAGGCTTGCACATTCAAATAGGATTCATGCTAGTTGCTGCAATTTGTACAGAATTGTGACTTTGCACTTCTAGTATACAGCTCTCAAAGAGGCAAGAGGGTTCTGTTTTAAGAACTATGTGATCTCACAAAGTGATGTTTCCATGACAGAAATACTGAGTCCAATACAATTTAATCCTGCTTCAGAAATTATTATTTTCATTTAGTCTTCTGTTTAGGATGAATTTATAAACTCAAAGGCAGTGCACTGCACAAGGTATTCTTCCAGAACACACCCACACTGCTTAGCTAAAGCATTAGTGCATCCTAGATTGACTAAAACTACCAAGAAAATTTTAACTGAACAGCCTGCTAAATTGAGACTCTTACCTCAGTAATATTAAAGCAACATCTGCATCTTTCTTGGGGATAGAATGGGAAGGTCACAGGAAGATGACGTATTTTAATTATTTGAAAATTATTTAATGAGTTAGAGGGGAATGGAAAGTAAAAATTTCAGTCTTAATTAAGATGATAGGGTCTCACTACAGTGGGTATAACTACTTTCATTACTTAGCTCATGGAATCACAGAATGCAAAAACAGAACTACCAGTCTGTGGCATAAACTATATCTATTGGAGAAACATCTGTCGTCAAATTAATTGGGATAAGAACCCAACACAATAGTTTATTTTCATATTTAAAAGTTCTATTCCATCTCTAAACTAGGATACTGTTTCCTAAAATACTGTGGAAGTGGCAGGTTAGGCACACTACACTTTCGTATTATATCATAGTTTCACTTTTATTTACACCAGATCTTGTTTATCTAGGCACAAGTTCTGCAGATGCAAAAAGCAACAAAACAATTCTGAAATGTATTAAATAAAATAATTTCTTGTATTTTCCACCACTTTCAATATCTACGAACTGATCAAATGAAGTCTGAGCAATTGATAGCTAGGTTACTAAACTGTATGTCCTATGGCTGATATACTCCAGAAACATAACTGCTCAGACTTGCACAACATGTTTCAAGACATTACTGCCATCTGCACTTCAGTACTCTTTTATGTTTCCTGTTTGGCCTATAAAGGGGAATTTAACTGAAGTGAAATTTTACTTTTGTCTAATAACAAACAAAGTTATGCAAAAAAAAAAAATCAAATAGTTCTCAACAGTGTATCTGTACAAAAACAAATTTAAGGTTCTTGTATATAATCAAGCTGTCATACATTTTCTATTTCCTTCAAATCTGTGAGTTTTAAGAACAAGAGAAAAACCAAATGTTTATCTTTTTTATTGTACCAGCTTGTAACAGTAAATAATAACATGGCTCAAGATATTAAGAATTATGAAAGCTGGTACACAGCAGCCAGATTTTTTTGGGTTCTGTGTATGAGGTGCTATGAAGACACCAAGAAGCAGTTACTCAAGAGCTTCTCATTATGAAGCTCAGAAAGTCATTATAATCATGTATCATTCTGTATCTAAACAACTACACATCACCACATCCAGTGGTCTCTCGAACACAGCAAGCTTGCAAAAAGCACTCATTTTAAACTTGAATGAGTTCTTACTTTGAAGAAACCTCTGGAAATACAAAAAGTTTAATTATTAAGCTGGAATACAGTTATTTAAGGAGTTAATAAGGCACTGAAAAAACCCCGCAAAATGAGGTAGATTTCTGAAATAAGGGCAATAGTCTTGAAATGCATATGAAGGTAAAGTCAAAGTAAAAAGCAGTAATATCAAGCTCTGGCAAACGAACTGGGTCCAGTCTTGTCAAGCAGGGGGAAGGAAATACACAGTCATGAGTAAGAATAGCCAAATTTACACAGTAAGAACCAGTTTTCAAGTATGTTAGTGCTGCTCACATACTGGTAATGAAAGACAGAAGAAGAAAGCCATAAAGGAGAGACATCTCACCATTTGCTTTTGATTTTCCCTTGTGCTGTCCAGAATCAGTGCAGTGCAGCAGTGTACTTGGGTGAGCAGATGATTTATTTGAAGAATTACATTTTGTGACAACTGTTTTTTCTGATGAAAGCTCTTGTGAGATATCTGTGTTCGCCCTAATGCCTGAATATCCTGTAAAATTGTAGTAAATGTTGTCATTAAAAATCTATGGTTAAAGGAACTTCGTGGAAGAAACGGCATCATGCATGCCCATAGCAGGAATTTATAATTCACTGAGCCAGTTCCCAGTATGCTGGAGCTGTGGGACTGCATGATGCTGCTGCAAAATGTGCAAGCTTTCCAGAGGCAAGGCAAGTATTGTCTAAACCAGACAATTTAATGCTGTTCAGTCACTGTTTACTGCTGAGAGAAGTGAGAAAGGTCTAAGTGACCAGCCTTTCTAGGCCAACTACTGTTCAGGGTGAGATGTACAAACACTTTTGCTTTACAGGAACTTCCACACAAGCACCACTAGCTGGACATGTCCCCCTCACATCCCACTGTGCTACACACATTCCTGAATCCCACAGACTTCAAAGTGGACAGAAAGCACTTGTTTTCCTAGTCTGTGTATGGAACAGAATGCACAGGTGGACAAGCCCAGATTAGGAGTGTGTGAAGAAAACACCTTGACTGGTTCCTCTGTGAGGTCTACACAGGATATAAATCAAGGCTGTCTGAAGTTACAAGCAGCACTCTCCACTTATCTGGAAAAAAATCTTAACAGCTCCTAGACTGAATTACCATAAGGTCAACACCAAAAAAAGGCATTCAACATCTTAAAACTCAAGGACAGACTGACAAGCAGCTGGGAAGTACTGGTGCATAAATGTACAAATTATATTTTGCACTTTATCATTATACTTGTGAGCGCCATACAATCAGAAACTCATTAAAATTATTTGTTTCAGTACAATTCTAAGCCACTTGGCCTATGGTTCTTCCCATCCACCCTCTTGATGGCTTGCCCTATTCATGGAAACAATCAGAAAAGGCATTTTCTACGTCAGAAACTGCTCTTTAGGGAGATCTAGTTTCATAAATTATGCCTAGTAGATTGAAGTATGCTGCATCCACATCAATAGCAGAGAAAGTTGTCACACTTGATCCTTAAACGTTTCAGTATAGAAATTTTCCAGAATCAGTTGCACTTTCAGCAGTGAAGAACCCATTACCTCTAACACCTGGGCCTCAACTTCAAGTTCAAAGCTTGAAGTGGCCTAAGGAAAGCATTCCCAGGCCTCCAGAGATGAAACCAACAGGAGACACGTTGCTACTACAGCTGTTTTAATGTAGCGCAACAGCATGTTATGAGACACGAGAGAGGAACACAGCTTGAGTACAGACTTTATCTCTCTCCCAAAAAAAAAAGGAAATTAAGTCTCTGACAGTTTAATTACGCTCACTGTTACAGCTCCATCGCCCTCAAGTGAAGGTGTAAGAAATAACAAGGCTACCAGCAGAAAAAGAAGATTCAATGTTTCCAAACTCCAGCATTCATTAAGCTGCCTCAGAACCAACATAACTGAGAATAGCCTGCACACAGGGCATCTGCACCCTCTTAACTGGACAAAGCTTGCACAGAAACACACTTTTTAAGGAAGAGGCTGACTTATAGACTGACATTCCTTTAGGAGTGACATCTATTCTGCACCATTACAAGCACTACTAACAAGCCACCAACCAGCATTAATGATGGAGCTTAACCAGGAAATAGATTATCTTGCCATCACAATTTAAAATCGATCACTTCATAAAATAAAAGCTAAGTGAAGAAAGAAGTCTAAACTGCAATGCCTGCTCTTAAGTGATCTGAACTGAATTTTCTGAGGTAACAAAATAATGAAGGCAGTTTCATCTACAGAAGGAAAATGAACTTTACCAGGCTTAGACCGCTTTTTCTTTTTTTTCTTTTTCTTTGACTTGGATCTTCCATAGTCTTTGGATTTTTTTTCTTTCTTCTCATGACCTTTAACAGCTAAAATTAGACAAAATTCCAAATTAGTTTAAAATATATATATACATTTATTCTACTTCATAATTTTCTTAAAAGCCTCACAGTTTCTTTGGACAATCAAGGCCGGTTCACTGAAGAACAAACAAACAAACACAAAAAAGAAAAAACAAAAACCTAAAAAACCCCAAACCATCAAAAACAAGAAGAAAACGTATTTGTAAGAATTCCCCAGCTCCCAGTTGGAATGATCTATTTTAAGTCCAAATCTGACTGTCCCGTAACAAAATATGAGTATCATGTGGGAGAAATCAAATGTACAGCGGTGCCCATTTATTATTTACATGCTTCAGAGATCATAAAAAAGACTGAAGGATTTGTTATATCCACTTTCTAAACTATTATGACTGGACATTTCACTAGCATTGTGTAAGAACAAAACCCCAACACCCTAAACTTCAGTTCCCTAATCAAGTATTTAATTGATATTGAAAATGGAGTAACTGGTTCAGCTGCCTTTAACTACTATTCTCTCAACATCTGTTCTCCATTCTGTTTTTATAGGACTAAAAACATACCGTAATTTTTGAATGACTAGCAGCTGTCAATCAAGCATATCCTCAAAGCATGATTCCAGAGCATGCAGCACTCAGTATAACCCTGCTGCAAGGTCATGAACACAAATCCCTGCTTTCCAGACCCCAGGAATTGGTTACATCCTGTCTTTCAGGCTGAGGTCACAGCAGAAGTTTTAGATACTTAGGCAGTTCCTAGAATTCATTATCCTGACTCAGAGATGTAATCAACACCTATTATGGAAGGATCCCTTGTATCTCAAAAGGGCTCTGCTCTCAGAGGGCTTGGCTGATTGAGCCACTCACCATCCCATTCAGAAACCTATTTCAATGCTGGATGATGGAGATCTGAATAAGCACTTGGAGGAACTCTTATACTGTAACAAATCTTCACTTGCACAAACCATTTGAGAACCCTAGGTTGTCTGTAATCATTTATGAATCAAACCAGCAATACCAGCGTATTATGTCAACCTCTTTCATACATGCCAACAGTAAATTCTTCAATTCATTGACTGCATATTTATGGCACAAACAGTTCCCTGAGAAAGTGCACACTGCAGTCACATTTAATCAGCTCTGGTAAGCATGCAGGAGACATGCTCAAGAGTTTGTCCTCAGGAGACTCCAGCTCTGCACCTCCCCAGCCCTCTCAGTCAAAGATTTACTGCTACTTTGCCACTTCTGTGCTCCTCTTAGCATGAGGTTAGCAAATGCACTTCAGTGTGCTCACCCACACGGCCATATCAGTCACCTGGCCTTCAAAGGCAGGAGGAGTGGCAGCACAAAAGTCACCTTCTTCTACCTCTCCATGGGTGGTGAGAGGGGTTAAAATAACCCTCCAATAAACAGGAGAAAAAAAAGGTTCATATTTAAGTGTCAAACACAGTGCTTCCAACTTCCTTCTTAACTTCCCTCTGTCCTCATTTCCCCTTCTTCCAATGGTCAGGATCCTCTTGGTAGGATTCCCTTCTCTCTGCTCACAGGGATGCAAAGAATTTTTACCATTTTACTCTTCCAGAAGGGCAAAGAGACTAACTAAGCTCAACAGCAGTAGGAAAATTTTGCTTCTATTCATTTGAAAATTGAAATTCACATGATCAGATTGCTGGATTTGTTTGAAGAAATCCAAGGGCACAAGGAAAGCTTCCTCAACCACTATCAACCTATCAAGCTAAATATGAAAGAAATGGTTACTTTAGACACTTTGTCCCCTTAAGCTTCCCCATGTGTCTTAAAAATGGGAAAAAAAATCCAAGTATTTACAAATTTCTGTGTACAGCTATCTTCTGAAATGCACAACACACAGTTAATGCACGTTTCCCTGAAAAAAAAGCTCAAAAGAACAAGTATTCAAGTACTATACCAGAGTCTTCAAAAAAAAAAAGGTACTGAACAATCTTGTCTAAAGCTGTTTCTTTTAAGTGTTCTGAACTATAATGAATTTTCACTGAAATAAGACCAGATAGAAACTTGTCTAGGTTAGGAGCATCCTCATAGATTCACATGATCAAAGAGGAAGATAAACTGAAAAACAATCCTAAAAATTATGCACAGAACAACTATATTTTTAAATGGTTTGGGGCTGTTTTTGAAAATATGAAGGATTTCAACTTCCTTGAATGGCAGAGACTTGTAAGAACTGGGATGAGTGCTCACCATCACATCACCACTATGAAAGTTGATTATAATCTCTAAATGCCACACTGGCACATAGGACATGTCCCACTGAGTGAGGAACAGTGAGGAGATACTGATGAATCTCATTCAGACCTTCCCACAAGGAAGGTCAATGAGGGATGCCCAAGAACAAACAAGATGCTAAGTACTGTCTGTGTGCTATGATCAACAGAACATAGACACAGGCAGCTAAGGAGGTGATCTCCAGGATACAGACCATCTATCATAGATACAATACTCTAACCTCAGATTTTATTTGTGTTTTTCTCATCACTGTGACTCAAATTCTTACCAACATCTGAAGGCAAGTGGTGATGTAGTAATCTAGATGTATGCTGGAAATTATATACATACAAAATATTAACATATATGTATTGTTTCTATGAGCATGTGTGTGCGTATACATACATCCCCTCGTCCTGTTTGGCTATTACCCACCTATACTACAGTAGATTTCAGTACAAACAAAGTTTACACGATATCACTGAACAGTCAAAGTTGTGAAGTTCTTCAGAGATGTCTACTAGTAATTGCTGACTACCTAAAGTGGTCAAATGTTATTGAAAAAAAACAACAAACCTACAAAATAAACCACCCTGGGCCATTGTGCCAGCCCAATCCCCTTCTTTTAACTTTAGGTATCTCAGTAAGTACAACGTTACTTAAAATATTTAATGATTTGGACAGCCAGGAGTTTAACAGAATTAAGACCAACAACCTTTCAACGACCTTTAATATTTTAGTACTTTTTACATCTTATAACTATTACCAACTGACTGGGAAGAATAAACCCCAATGCAGATAGCATGAAAACTTACAAAATGATAGTGAAAAAACACTGCTTACATTTTATGCCGTATATTTACACAAAATTATTCTGGCTAAATGAAGGTATACAGAACATTGTCAGTTCCTTACAATGTTTGAAACTTCCCCAAGACTTTTGCATATTTAACTTTCCATGTTTAACCAAAAGCCGTACCATGTTGAACTCTTTCCCGAGGCCTCCGCAGCGCTCTTGCTATGTGGTTCCTGGCTTGGTCTCTAATAGAATGTCGGTGACTATTTAACACACTTACAGGAGTTGAAGTTCTTCTCCTTTCTACTTTTTCATCTCTATATGGGGTACTCCTGAGGGCTATGTGTGGAGGAGCATCTACAAAGAGAACAAAGACCAAGTCCAAGCTTTGCAAAGTCAGTCTATTTCAGCAGCAGCAGCTCTGGCAGTCCAAGTGGAATTTTTCTGATCAGACATTGCTCAACTCAGTCCTAGTCCTGACTAAAAGGCTAAAACCTCCAAAGCTTTTGTTGGATTTGTTGAGGGGCTTTTCTTTCAAAAAGAAACAGGGAATGTCCATGCATTCCCCAAAGCTCTGTTCTTCCAGAAAAACCTGTGATTTCAAGAAAAGATGACAAGAGAAACAGTTCGGTTTGGCAAAGATATGGGTTGGGTAATTTTAATTAGTTTCTCCAAGAGAGAAAGTGCCCAGTTTGTTTAATTAGAGGAACCACAGCCAGTTCTCAAAAGTGTGCTTTGTAACACACACAGAACAGTTTTTAAATACATACCACTGCAACAACAGTGTTTCAATCAAGAGTGAGATGCAAGAATTTAGGGTCACTACCTAAAATTCATAAAAATCGTAAGATGCAGATATGGCTTCACCTGAGATTCCATTTTTTATTTAAGTCCAACAGTTTCATCCTAACTGCAAGTAACAGCTCCTACTGAAAGACTCCCAGAAAGAAAGACAGAAGAAGAGCAGTGAAGGTGATAAAAGCTAAAGCTGCATGTCAGGTAGGACAGTAGACGAACCAAGACCAGTACAGTGCCATTTTAGAGCATTACATCAAGTATCTTGGTCAATGAGACCCAGTAGCCAAGGTTTGCTGACATTTATCAAAAATGTCCAGTTCTATCATCATACACAAAAGTCCAGAGTACAAGAAAGGCAACTTCTTTCTAGTCTGTAGATTAACATGCCACACTTAAGACACCTTTAATAAAACAATTGTGAGCAGAATCTGAGAGCGACTGAAAAGGGAAGGGAAAGAGTCCCAGAGAGCACGCTCAGGAGAAGACACTGGATCAAGCACCCCACCCTGATCAACATTTCAAGTTGAAGAAATAAGGCACATTAAGACTTGTCATTGTAGAGCTTTCAGAATCACGTGGATCTCTTCAGAGATCTCTTCTCAGAAATCTGATGACATTTTCCCTGGTTCTCTCTCTAGGAAGTTAGAACTTTAAAGGAAAAAAAAAAAATCCGAACAAAAAAGAAAAGTCACTTGCAACTATTTCCACAACTTATCTTCTAGTCACCTATCCTAGTGCTCTACAGCAGCCTCAAAAGACAGAAATTAAACTACAACCCAATTACCACACAAAACTCTCTAAAAGATGCCTTTTGTCCAGACAGGCAACTCACTGCTGCCTTTCACTAGGTGTGTATTTCCCTCAAGAAAGTAGAAGGTTTTGTCCACAAAGAACTACTAAACCAGAAGATTCTCCTTACACCACAGTGTATGTATGACCTTTCATTTGCAGTATGAGTTCTCTTGAAGAAATAAGTAGGAAGAGGTTTTGTGTCAATTTTTTTTGTTTGTTTGGGTTTTTTGGTGCTGTCTTTATTTACTTGTTTAAGTCAGGTCTACTTTGAGTCCTCTGAGGACTTGCATGACTAGGGATCAAGATATCATTGGTTCAGATGACAAAAACAGAAGAAAACATTTTCCCATGGTAGACAGTAGCTAGAAATAAGATTCAGGTACTACATTATCTTTTTGGGAACACCAGTACCCTAACAAACTTTATGAAATGCAAATGGTGTATTTCAGTACAGGGTGAAATGTCACATAAACAATCTTTTCTGCAGCTTTCCTGACTGTCTACCACTCTGCAATAAGTTTCAAAAATATTTACACACCACCATGTCAGTGAAACTCAAAACTACAATACAAAAATCCATACAAACCTGACAGCCTTCGTAAGTTCATAACTTCAAAGTTAGGCCTCCTAACTTTCCCTTCTCCCAACAGCTCAACTCAATCTCATGAATTAACATTTCAGAACACCAAAGCCACCCTGATCCCACCAGTCTGCAATAGCATAAGGCCTCTTAGCTTCCTTCCTGTGGGCTGACAGGGGTGCACACAATCGTATTTTGTGTCCACTGGGTTTTTGTAGCTTTGTGAGACTTAATTTCAAGGAGATTTTTGCCAAGAATACATCCCGTCTTTTATGACACACAGGTTAACATAATTCTGTAAGATTTCTCAGCTAACCATAACACTGCCCTGGGGAAAGGGTCAAGGTACTCTTATCATACACTGGATGCATTTTTTCTTCCAGTAACTGATAAAAACACGCTAGGTTTTGAAACATCTGTTCCACTAACAGGAAAGTTTAGAGGGTCTCTAAGATCTCTGAGCACTCTGAAATATATTTTAGAAGTTGTGATTAAATTTGAGAAGATGAGATTAAAAACCTGGAAATTTATCCTCAACTTTTGGAACAGCAAATATTAAAACTGATGCCATGGAGATGCAAACTTATAAGCCTTCCACAGTAAAGTGTCCTTTTTCCTCTTCATTTGGAAATATAACGCAATACAGATCAGTTTATAAAATCATTCCCTAAAGAACAATTATTCCTAACAACCACAACTAAGACCTTATATTTAGGCACGTGGCTTTAAAACTTGCACATTTCTCACATTTGGGTACCACCTGCAGAGTGTGCCACCTGCTTCCATCCTCTGCTCTCCCCAGGCCAACCTTAGCTCGCTCTCCAGAAGGTTTCCTACTCCTCTGCCTCCATGCAGTCACAGGATGACTGGGTTGTGAGGCTGCAGCAGGTCCACACCCATAGTCATTCCTATGAGGAATACACAAGAGATCCCTATGCATTTCCTAAAGCTGCTTGTGCAGGCCCCATGAAGACACAAACCTGTGTCCCACCTCAGGGAAACCACAAAAGACACGAAAAGCCTCCTAACACCCTGAGCAATGACACTTCCATTGTTCTTGAACAGAAGTGTTGTGACTAAACATCAGAGCAAATTAATTTCCAGCTCAGATGATACTGAATAACAGGAACAGGAGATATGTTCACAAGATACTGGAGATTAACAGGACTGCTGATTAACTGCCTCCAGCCTTCCTCTATGGAGTTCCTTCAGGTCTCTCTCTCTCTCCTAACCCTGGAAGAAGTATCTACTGTCATATGAAGAGCTGACCCAGAAGCTGTAAAGGATCCTAGAAACTAACATATACAGACCTGAGATATAAAATTCCCTCAACAATGCAGAAACCACATGGATAGAGCTTCAGAGAACTTACTACTAAGCACATCAAAGTTCAGTGACAGACAAGGCAGTAGCTTTCTGTACCCTGGAGCCCTGATGTAGGACCCCAGTTAAGAAGGTAACTCAGCATTTGCAGGAATCAGAGACTGCAATCCCAAGTATGTGAATCAGACAAAGTTACCATCCACAGCTACGAGATCACTTGCTGAGAATGTCCAGTGGTATTTTCAAGAACTGAAAGATCATGTTTCATCTTGACTTACAGCCACCCTCCAGAAACCAAATGCAGTATTGTCAGGACAAGCCAAATACAACTGACAATTCTACAAACACGGAGGTTGTTTATGTAGCTCTTCCTCTGCTGCAAGGAAAAAACCCACATTTGTAGATCACTATGCACATCCCACTGCCTAGCAGAGGCATCGGGTCAGTCAGAATCAAGAGGAAACACGAAAATTTCCCAAAGGATTAGCATGACAACCACTACACAACAGGCCAGAGGTTTGCCAGTGAACAGATGTTAGTGACAACTACATGCCTGAGATGTTTTAAGATGTCAAAACAAGTTTGCCAACCCCACCCACACACAATTCAGCTCTTATCAGTAACATAAGTAAGGGCAAAATACCTGTTTTGTTTACATGCTTCATGTATAGAATTCATGCATGGAGTCATTTGTACACTAACAGGACATACAGCAATTAACTTAGGTAGGCAGAATCTTCTAAAAATAAGGTTATGTAAAAAAATTTAAACCTACTGACAAGATGTTTTTTCCCTCTTTAAAGTGCTTTATAAGGACTCCACAGTAGGGACAGGTATTTTACAGTATCCAAACTAACTACAAACTGCAGGCCTGTTTCTTTATTTCCTTCTTCATGGCAAGGAACACAGGAGAGGCAAGAGTGGCAGCAACTTACCAGACTGAGGCTACTGTTCTACATTCACACCCCAAATCAAAGCCTAATACCGTACAGTGTTTTTGAAGTCCCAAAACTGAGTTTAGCTTCTATTATGACCAAAACTCCTGAGAAGAGCTAGGAGTGTCCTAGGAGTCAATGGGTATCAACTCACGAGCTCGCTGTCAGTACAGTTGTGCAGACAGCAGAACTAAGTAGTTATTAGGAGCATTGAGAGCACACCAATCACCTCAGATGACACTTCTGTGTGCAACTCTCATTTGCTCACGAGGTTTGTGTCTCCTGAGAGACCTCCAGCATGTACAGAGCTTCGCCAGGGTATGATGTGGGGCACATCAGCTCTGCAAGCACTCAAGTCTTCACTTTCAGATTTCAGAAAATATGTTCAGCACAAAAGGCATGAATTACATGCTAGCAAATCTCCAAATGAACAGATTTTACTACAAAGATGAAAGTCACCAATCCTGAAAAACTCCAAGTCGAGATGTCAAAATTATGACTTGCAGGTACAAAGAAAGAAATGAAACTATTCTATACCTCATGTCCTTGGAGTGGCCTGAGTCAGGAAAAAAATTTTTATAGGTCAGGAAACAACAATCTTTATTAAGAATAACCTTTTTGCCGGCACTTCATATAAAATAACATGGACAGACAGACATCTGAAAGAGAAAACTGGTACCTTCAGAGTAAATTGTTTACAGTCTCTGCAGGGCACAAGTCACAGTATGGGATGATGTACTTCAACAGTAAACTAAGGGGTTCTGCAGCAAAAGAGAAGGGACCACAAAGAAAGAAGCCTGTCTTAAGGTTAATGCATATGGGTACACAATGCTGTCCTACTTCATTCTTTTATTACAGTAATCAGTAAGTAACGGATGTGAATTTTCACAGATACTGCATCACATTTAATTTCCAAGTAATAATTCTGATAGAGCATCTCTATTTGAGCTAGCACAAAATCGAAGCAACTCTTTCATCTAAGACCGACACTGAAATCATGTGCAGCCCAGACTCAAAAAGCCTCTTTTTAGGCTTATGCATCCACATACATTTGTGCAGATCTCAGTTCTCCTGACAGAGGCTGCAGGTGGCTCTGCAATGCACTGCTGAGGTGTAATGTAACCTGAGAGCTGAGAGCAGTTATACCTGCATCTCCTATAGCCCAGGGGGACACATCAACTGCCTTCTTCTATGTAAGGACAATTCTTTCCTGAGGACCAAAGTAACAGCAACTCAAGGAGATAAGTATTGTAACATGCACTTAGGGGAAGATGTGCTTCATCATCATCTCATACTACTTCCTGATAAATTTAAGAAAGGTATTGCCTAAACACATCCAGTAGCTATGAAGTCCTAGTAATTCTTTTCAGGCATATTCTGTAAGGCATATGTAAAATACAAGCTGCAGGCAATGGCAGCGCTTCCTCTCTGTTCAGAGCAACTACAGAATTCAATCTGTCAAGTGTGCCACTGCAAAGGCAAGATCTTTCTTTGGAAAAAGGGGGAGACAGTTCAAAAGTTCAAATCAGTCCCACATTAACCTTTCCAGCTCCCTCATACTTTGATTTCAATGTCAAGTAGCACAATTTACATATCAAGAATTGTAACTTCAGAGTCTCCACTTCAGTGCAAACAACTATATTTAAATTTTTTTTCCCCAAATCCCACAGCATGGCCACAGAAGACCACTTATATCCATCTTTTTTTCTACGTGTTAAAATTTTAATTTTAAGCACTGCAAAGACAAGGTTTTCCTACTGTTCTGAATGTTGCATATTTTCCTACAACTTTATAAGCAATAAGTATTTTCACTTTAAATCCAGCACCAGACAACCCCCACCATTCATTTTACGCGTGGCAGAAAGAGTAAGGAGCCCCAGAAGTCTACAATAAAACTTATGAGATAAGTGTGACAAAACTTCTAAAGCAAGAGCATCTTAAAGTCTATGGAGTAACAATAATCATGATTGCTGAAAGTTTTATCTGTTAGAAATTGCCACCATTCCTTAAGCACTAAAATCTACCTAATATAGTGAAAGGACATCTGTATCAAAAGGTAAAATGATTTAAATATATTCTTTTCAAATAAGAGAATTTTTGCTCACAAAAGGATTGTCAAGATGAAAAGTATACCCACCAAATACCAGACTAAATTATCGATTCAAAAGCTTTCACTCTAAGCAGTACATCTTGAAAAGCCTTTGGAAAAGGTGCCCTTAAAGTGTTCAGTAGACAGGAAGTCTTGCCTGTACATGCCATTAAGACAGAAGAACAGAACCTCAAATACTACAGTAAGAACTCACTAACCTCATGAACTCTGCTTTCAACTGTGTAGCACCACCTAACAAAAATTAGGGAAATTAAGAACAAACTGATTTAGAAAACAATGGCACTTAGTATCAGACATATAACTAACATATAATGACATCGCTTTTCCTCATCAAGAAAAAATGTACTATAGCTCCACAAGAGCAGGCCTCAACTGTGAAGGTGACTTAAGAACTTTACAGCCCCCCTTTCCCCCTTGATGCAACACTCAGCAGCTATGAGCACACCCCAGGTTCTCTGCAGAGAGCACCGACTTCCAGTCATGGAAATAATTCAGGTGCAAAGTATCCATCCACAAACGGGGAATTACAGGGATGGGGGCTTAAAATAAGCAAATACAGTTACATCCCAGCTTGACAAGGAACTACGTGCCAGTGATGATGGTGCATCTGACTACACGAACTTGGAGCAAAGGATAAATGGAGGGGTCAAGATCTTGAGTCACTAGTCAGTAAATTCAAGACAATCATAACAAAACAACTTCTCCAATCAAAGTAATGACACAGTTCGAAAGAAGCCTGGTTATTGAAAAGCCCATGACATGCACAAAGCCTGTTCTGATCACTCTGCAGCTGGCAGCAGCCAGTCTTCACACCATGCTTATCTCAGTATGTTCCCCCAGGTAATACCTGGGTTCAATTAAGCTGCATGCAGAGTACAGTACATACAAATCATTACAGCCTAATGCATTTAAAGACAACTCCCTACCTAATCCAAGATTATGCCTTTGCATTATTAAGATACATAAGTATTTGGGGTTCACATGTAGTAACAGTACGTAAAGTCACACTTATCTTGTTAGGAACAAGCAGTAGCATCTCAAATGAAAAGCCATTTTCTGGACTCTTTAGGAAAAGCAGCTGCAAAGCAAAGTAAGGGAGGATATATTCTGTTCTAGTGAGCTGGAGCTCTGTGAACAACTTGCAAGACTTTGGAATTCTTAAGATATTAATGAAAGATCAACTGCAAAGACAAAAAGCATCAGAGAATTCAGCACGGACAAAGATGGATTTTATAAAAAAGGCTCAGTGAAAAGACAGAAGACATGACTAGTTTTACAGACTTGCAGTACACAGAGACATCAGTCCACAAGAGCCAAGTCTGGACACGTTATCAACAACCACTGCAAGTTCACACTAGACCTAGACTGCCACTCTGAGGTCATGCCAGGCAGAGAGTGCTTCAGAGAATCAGGGTGTAACAGAAGTGAATGTTCTTTTGCTGCCTGCCAATGTGTTTCTACTTGTCTTTTTTTTTTTTTTTTTTTTTTTTTTTTTTTTTTTTGCTAACCAGTTTTTATTCCTTTCTATTGACCATCTGTTGTGTGAAGATCTTGTTCAAGCAGAGCTGAAACAACTGCACTTGTTAAATACTAGGATTTTTCACCCCACAGAACAGTGAATACTGCAGAAACTGGTACTGGATTTCCAGTCAGGTATGTGCTTGAAGGCAGTAATGTACAGATAAGTCAAAACCTACAGACAAGGAAGAAATAGGAGAGAACTGGAGGTATGCAAACTGTTCCCTAATACAGAAAGACAGAAGTCTCCAACCAATACTATCTGTAAGCCAGGAGAAAAAAAATCAAGTCAGAAATTCAGGGAACTGTGGTTTTTAAAAGGGAACAGAGGTTTAATACACAAGTAAGCTGCTACAGATAAGTAAGAGAAGCTGCATAGTGAGATCTTTACCAGAACATGATCTTGAATTCTAGAAGAAAGAACACCTTCATACCTTTCTACAACATGATGTACACATATATCCTGCTTCTTCTCCACAAAGAAACATGCTATGACACAGCCCTAAAAGAGACTACTTCAGCCCAAAAGAAAATTGATTCTTGCTATTTTCTGCCTATCCTGCCTGCTGCTGCTTAAAAAAAGAAAGAGATCAGCACCATACTTACACAGTGAACCAGCTGTGGTCCGTCCTCTTTTTGACCTTTCTTGATTAGCTTTTTCAGAAGCCAAAGAAGCTCTGGTTTGGATATTTCTTTTTACAGGGTTCTGCTGTGATTCTGCAGCCTTCTCCACTCCATGAAAGTATTTCATGTGATAATGCAATAACTTGGCTTTGCGGAAGGATTTTGAACAGTCCAAGAACTTGCATCTAAACTTGTGATCTTGGTCAACAGTTGCAGCTTTTTTTGATGCAAGAAAATCTGTTCTCCTACAAGGTTTTGTTACTGTAAGAACAAAACAGATAAATTGCCCCATGCATATGCTATATTTACCAAATGGTTTCCTAAACTTAAACAGCAAAAAGATTTCAGTAAGCATGCATTCACACATATTAGCTATGAAACACTAGAAATAAAATGTTAATGCCTTATCTGCCTTTAAGATCAGCAACTTTAAAAGGCGAACTCTACCCTACACTGCTCATAAAAATTGTTTTTATGAATAAGTTACAGCATTTTGCTTCCCTGAGTCCTTGCCCAACACCTGATATTACTGTATAGCATGCCTGAAGATAAAAGACTGAATCACACAGAGATTACATCCCTAAGTCCAAACACTAAAGGTTATTTGTTCACAACTATTCACACCTTTGGTGCAACAAGAAAACAGTTCTGTTTCTCTGCTTACAGTTATTTTGCTACCTCATTTCTGGGTGCACAGTCCCACCACCAAAGCCCGGTTACTTCCAAAGACAGGAGAAGCAGTACTTTAGGACATTTTAAAATTACTTATTTCAATTTTCAAGCAGCAATGAAGAACAAAATTGCTTGCATCTGTTACAAAATGTTCCCTATGAGCTAAACTTAAGTTTCTGAAAAATGCAAGGAAAGCCTAAAGAGTCAAATGTACGAATATTTTAAGGCACCTATTCCACAGAGCAGTGCTGTGCAACCCAGGGCTGTACCTATCATGAATGTCAGAAAGTTTTAGTTCATGTTTTTGCTAAGAAATATACAAAAGAAACATTTTGAATTAAATAAATTACTGTCACCGGTAGCTGTACTCAGTACAACACATGAGAAGTAAAAATGAGGAAACAGATCTAAATAGATCTAGGCAATTATCCATCACTAATACACACACAATATTGAAAAATCCGTCTCCAGCTAGAAGACAATGGAAAGGAGGTATCATTAAAAAAACAAAACAAAACACCAGCTTCTAAATATAATTTTCCAATTTGCATTGCCAGTACTGAACTGTTATTTCCATATTTACAAGAGTTTTCAACTTTCAGGATTAAAAAGAAGTGTTTAACTGCAAGACTCAAACCTAGCAACAGTGACTAAAACTGAAGGGATGCAGCACATGAATGAAAATTAAGCAATTGTATTAGAAGTAGCTGTAAACAAGGGACAAAAGTACTCAGAAACATTAAGAACAAGAATAAGATTTTCTATAAGTGCACTACGGCTTTGAACAGAAAGTGTTAAAGGCAGTGTCAGCACGATCCTGGAGTAAAAACATATACAGCCTGTTTCCAAGTTTTTAGCATGCAGTAACAGAATGGTGTTACTGAGCAGCAGACTAAAGGCTGTCACAGTGCAGAGAAGCATCCTAGACAGCCATATCTGAGGTCCACCCAGCCTTTAAGTACTGTGTACAAACAATCTTTAACATGGAGAAAACACAACTAATTGCACCCTGATACATAGGGAAAAATTAAGTCATATGCAACACCAAGCTGGTTAAAAGAAAGAATATGCAGTGAAATCTGAGAAGGAAATAGTACAAAGAAAGACACTGGTTTTGGGTGTTTCACAGTGGTAATGACCAGGAGGAAGACACTGTGGCATAGCCACGTTAAGAACACGCTGACAGGAACATCAACAAGACTGCAGCAAAGCCAGACTCACGCTTGCAGAATGACAAAGTTTGCCAATATCAAAAGCAAAATATACTGCAGACCATCAAAAGCTGCATTCAGGAAGAATAAAAAAGTATTTCAGGAAGGCTCAGTGCAATGGCCTGTGGGTTCTGTGAAAGCAAACACAGAAAAGTTCTCTTGGCTGTAAAGGAAAAAAAAACCCAGCATTTGGGATTACAGATACTGAGAGCTTATTGCTATTCAATAACCAACATGAAGCTGGAAAACAACGGCAGCAGAAGGGAGTAATGGCATCCAAAGACTTCAGAAAACATTACAAAGATGGCAAGGGAAACTATTACACCGTGACACAACTGTCAGGATGAGGTCCTGCATCCAAGCTCAGAGAACTTCCCCTCCACTGAGCTGGACAGATTCTGGAGAAGATACAGGGAATGGCTTCTAACTGATCAGCTACAAGTTAGAAAAGACTGCATTAGCTGGAGTTAGAAATAGGGATAACAAAGACACGGGAACAAAGGGAAAGGAAGCAGACAAAAAAACTTACTGCAATGTGCAAAAAGAATGTGTTCAGAGTAATAAAAATACAGATGATTCCACAAAATTTGAATCAAAGCTTCAATCATTCCCATCACTACAAGTAGTTTTCCTACTTTACAAGTAGCACAACAGAACTCCCTGTCACCCAGGCACAGCAGGAAACTGCCAACCAACTCTGCCACCCAGGGGAGCCTCTGGAGAGCCCTTGCTCTATGTGCTCTGAAAAGGACATCCTACATCAACACCTAAAGGGGCACCTACCATCCTTACACACAGAATTTTTGTTCACATGTGGCACTAAAATTGCTTTCTAGAGAAACAAGTTCGGTGTATTATCTTCAGATTTTCAGGCACTTGCCTTTACAAAGGAGCTTGGTGGTTATTTTCTGTAAGTACAGACAAAGACAACGGTAAACTGACACTTGCTATTTCTCCCATATTATAATCAAAATTCAAACTCCTCATCTGCTTTTCAGTCAGCCAAGACATCTCATGGTCAGGCATCATTGTATCGTTTAAGTTTAACTACAGAGAAAACCATTCCTTCAGTGTTCCAGTCAGCAGCCCTTCCCATTTCTCACTGGGCTGAATTATCCAAGGGTCAAGTTATGACCATGCTCAGCAGCAAGTTCACTGTAAAATGCACAACGTGAAACTTCCAAGTCCACCAGACGTGGTGTTTTTACCCCATCGCCAATTCTCTCACTGACATGATTCCTGCAGGAACAGGAATATTTGGCAGCAGCATGGTACCTCAACTGAAGGCCTGCCTTGCTGTGGCATCTCCCGCAACACCCTGGTAAACAATCCAAGAAGCCAGCAGTGCACAGAACTCTTCCCATTTTCCCACACTTAAAGCTGGCCTTACTGCATTTTCAAGCAATTAGACCTCCATACACAACTGCTTGCTGAAATGAGGAGACCTTCACTCTCTAGTTCCTGGTCTCCAAAGAAATATTAAGTGGAGAGCAAATTATTTCTTCACTTGCTGTTAAATTAAACACACTGAAACTCTAAAACTCATGTTCTCTGGTGCATCATCTTCATGATAGGTCATGGTAACAAACATGCTTCAGATGACAGTTTTTACACTGTGCTTTGGACCACTTCACATCACTGGGTCAATGTCCTCAATAATTATTTATTTCATTCAACTTAATCTTGTGTTGTTTTTTCTGAGCTCACCACGTGTGTCTTCATTTCAGCTCTTAAACTACATTTCTTCCTTTATTTTCAAAAACCCTCTTCCTTTCAGTATCTCAGTTGTTAAACAAAAACCATCTTGCTTAATTGCTCTTCTCAAGCTAATTTAGATAGACATAGCATCCAAGAATTTCCAGTGCATCTAGAATCCACAGAAGGAGCTGCCTGGTGCAAGAAATACGTAAGAGTATCAATAATCACTGATCATTGCATATTTATAAACTTGTGGGGCTTTGAGCTGTAACATTACTTGGCATTGCAAGAACCACTCAAGACAGTATCTCCTATGGCCCTCCACTCACCAGTTTCCCCCTGTGCTGGAAAGAAATGGGTACCAATAAAAGCAGCCTGTACTGGGCAATAAAGCATGTGAGCCTTGCAGTGCACCACTCACCCTCAGTGTACATTTGGAGGGGATGGAAAGGCTTTACCTGCACTTTGACATGTGACTGAAACACTGTGACCAGACTGTGCTGCCCCACCACAGGGAGCTTTAAGCGAACTAGGCAGGATGGATTAATTTACCTACCATATATTGTTAGGCGCAAAAATACAACTTTTATGCTACCTTGAAGGGATTAAAGCCTATTGAAGTGAGCTGCAGGAGAAATAGCAGCACTCTCAAACTGATTAAAAGGTCTTATGATTCTCCTTAACTGAAACCCAAAGCTAACAGAAAAAAGCAGGTGTAAGTATACAGCAATTAGAATCCCTGATGCATGTCTATGCAAATAAGTTATTTCAAGAGTGCTAGCAAATACAACTACAAACATGATAGCAGATCTGTGCAAAGCAAAGGCAGCTCACCTTTAAAGTAAAAGGAATTTTTAAGACTAAACTCACATGAACAGCTATGGAATGTTTCTAAGTCTATTTTCAAATATATGCTGAGCTTTAATTGGCTGCAAAAGTTTGCCAACAGACTGTTAACATATTTTTTGGAAAGACAGCTTGATTTAGCTAAATTCTGATCACTACTTCTAGTTCCTTGTCATCAGAGGTGCCAAAAGTCAGCAGAACAGGCTTTTAATCTTGCAGTACATGTAATTATTCAAAATTTTGTTCAGACTTTTAAAATACAAACTTCAGTTTTAACAAGCAATGCTATATTGCCCTTTCAGAACGTGTTACATTTTAGAACATCTCAGCCATAGGAAGACTCCAGACTGCAATTTGCTGCTATAAATGTGTGCAACCACTAGGAATCTTGAATCACCTACCAACCAGTGAATAGAAATCACCCCTTAAAAGGGGTGCTTGTGTCCTTAAAAATCCCTGATACTCAAATGCTATAAAAATCATGTTCTTCCTATACATCCTGCAAGGTAAAAATTTGTACTACTAGAATGTGTTACTCAACAGTGCCAAAATGACACTAACATATCATGAGGCAAATACAGATTTTACAGTATTTTCCTACAGGAAGATAATTAATTCCCACTAAGTGACTAGAATTAAAGTTTACAGACAAATAATAATGATAATACTGGCTTACAATATTGCCTTTGTTCTAAATATGAAAAGTTACCAATGACTAACTTCCATGCTGTACTTCATGGCAATCTCACATGCAACAGACACACTCTTCTGCCCCACACACCACCTGCTCTCCAATAACTGCCCCTTCCCAAGCCCCAAATCTTTTAAACACATGAGACTGAGAACATATTGAACACAACTGTCTGGCACACAGTTATTCTATCTGGAGCATATCTGTCACCTTGATAATCATCCATAAATGAGTTAATTCAGCTCCCAGTCTCCAACACCAGCTATTTTCACAACGACATGCCTAGGCACTGTAACAAATCTATCCCGCCACAAGAGCAGATGCCACTGGTGATTTTCAGAGGCATTTGCACATCCTGCCTAGAGGCACCTGTCACTGTCATGCTGCTACACACGCACACCAGTACCAGGTAAAAGACCAAGCCCTGCTGTTCCCCCATCAGACAGCTCATCAGCACTGGGGTGAAATGCTACAATCCCACAGCTAAGACAGAGAGAGCATGGAGAGGGAAACACAGATCCACTTTTAACTACAAAGGATTTATCTGTGAGAGAATCTATGAATTTTTAAATCTTCATCTAAAACTGCTCATGAATAGCTTTTTAAATGCAGCTTAAGTATGGAAATGTAGATTTTTGTACTTGGACTTCAGATGACCGTATTTACTCAAAGACCCTGCATGCTTACCTTTTATCCCCAATCCTTAAAAGTGCTCTACAATAAAAACACCTGCTTGCCACATCTGGATGTCCACTGAGGTGCATGATTGATTTCTAACGTTAACTGAAACAACTTTCAATTAAATAAAATAAAATCCACGCTCGGAAGAGTGGATTTTTACAGACCATCAGTGCTGTACTTCAGGTCAGAATTCAATATAAGTGAATATTCCCAAATTAACTTTAATCTAACTTGCTCAAGTCCTGATAGAAGAGCCAGGAACAAGAGTGCACAAACTCTATCAGAGCCTTTGGGTAGGTGTTAGCCAAGGCCTGATCCCACAGCTTTGCTGCTTCCATCTAATGAAGCAAGGTCAGGCCACATCCCACTAGTGTGAATGACACCACACACACATACTACACATTCAGTTGGAATTCTCCCAAGTTTAAACCCAAATTACAAATTTGCTCAGCAATAGCTGAAGGAGACCATTTTAAATAGCAGAAGACCATTTACACACCAACCTGAGCAAAGGAAAGAGGGCAGTTCCTTCCTGCACTGAGGGTACCCATTAGTGGAAATGGAGAGGATATGTCACTTGGACAGTTACAACAGAGTGAAAGACCATATGTGCAAACAAGAGGGAAATTTAAAATAACCAACAAACATCACACACATTACTCCAGCAATGCTGAGCAACTGCAAATCTCTCCAAATGCTCTGTTACACTTCAAATTAACCTTGTTTGATAGAGCATAAACTAGGAAGTATGTACTTCAAGTTTCTCCAGTTAGCTGTAGATCCAAAGATTAAAGTTATGAGAAATAATCATAGGACAGCACCATGTTTTGACAGTCCACTGCTGCATAGGAAATTTTAAAGCTAGAAGAAAATAGAATATATATATTAAGATGGAAACTGAAATGTTTGAACTACTTCATAAATTTGCACTAAAGCCTCCAAGTCTAAACATAAAGATATAAAAATGCACAATTGGGATTCCCAAACAGCAGTAACAGTAATATTACCACATACTTATAGCACATTAAGCACTGATCTGTTATGGTATTAAATTCAATTTAATCCGGAATTCCAAACACTGCGAACAAGCATTTGTAAACTTCATCACTCATGCTGAAAGTATTCCACCCAGTCATTTAAAAATTATGATTTCCACTTTTAAGATTGCAGTCCACCTTGGAAGTGTAAGATTAAAACTGAGTCCACAGGGAATAAAAATATGCATTTTTAACGAAGGTTAAAATTGCAAGAATTTTAACACTTGTACAAGTACAAAACATGCAGTGTCTATTGCCTTAAGAAATGCATTAACGTGAAATATGAAAAACTTGAACCTGTAGCAGCAGAAGGTTCTTGAGTTCTGACAGGAACGGAGGAAGACTCAGTGTCTTCAGCTTTTTCTTCCTGCAAACTGGTGTCTGTGCTGAGTGCTGTGCTATGCGATGTATTCCCAGGTGATCCTTGCTCACCAAAACTTTGGTCAGATTCAACAGGAATTTCTAACTGGGCTAGAATGAGAAAAACATTTCCACTGAGTAAAATGCATACAAAAGCATACTGAAGAACACTGCGGGGGGGGGGTGGATTTTCACATTATAATGGAGAAAACTACCCATCCATGCTCTTGACTACTTGCTTTTGGTCACACAAAATTTCTGCAGCACAACTAACTTGTAGCATCTCTCTAAACTTAGAGCTGCTTAGAAACACAAAAGCATAGATCTCCTCAATCCACTTCAAGAGCTTCATCAAAAGGGAAAGGCAGTGAAGGACAGGGCAGAAAAGCAAGTATTAACTCCACCATGTTTAAGCATAAAAGCATCCCATTTGATGCTTTTAGTGTTCAATAGCAGGATTAAACTCTAAGGACTCCGAGTTCAGTACTTGTGCTGTTACTTCCACAATCTGAAAGTCTTAAAACTTTGAAATTACTTCATTTTCACAATCAGAACCTGCATTCCCTACAAAAGAAAACCAACCAACCAAAAAACCCCAAACCAAAGTATTTCCTTGGATATTTTTATGGCCCATAGAGCTCTCCTTTGCTGGAAAAGGTCCCACCACCCAAGGGAAATGCAGGGTTACTGACAGAAAGGGAATTAAAAGCCAAAAGCAATCAGGGCAGCAGAGACGCAAACTTTCCACGAGTTTTCCCTGCACTGCTGATGAAATAATATTTTAATAGCAGATATGGAGCCTGTAGGCTAAGCAACTGCAAATATACAGCTTGCAACAACTACACGACCACCTCATCACAAAAACCCAGAGTACACTGTGCAGGCACTTACTCTTCTCAGATTCATTTTGGATAGATACTGCATCTTTCCAAGTTTGAATTTCCGTGGAAGTTGTGACAAGATCTGTATTTAAAATCTCATGGCTAATACTGGATGAGAGTCTTGAAGATCGCCTCCTGATCTGGTCTCTCTCAGCATTATCTGAAGAGTTCTTAGATTTTTCCTGAGCTGGAACAGTTGTATTTAATGGTACCACGCAGTAACAGGAATACAAACAGATCACAAGCAAACTGTCAATTCTTCACTCCCTGTGACCCCCTTTTGAAAGTGTGCTTTTGAAGGACTAAGGTTAACAGCAAAAGCTAAAAAGCCTGGATAATTAAACCTCTGTAAAAGCTACAATGGTAAGTTTCAACTAAGCATAAAAGCACAGCAAAAGCTCTCAACTTTTTTCTTCTAGTAACAGATTTGAAGTACGAATATGGATCAGTATATTACTAGTTTCTTAGAAAAAAACATTCCACTGAGTAAAATGCACACAGAAGCATACTGCAGAGCAGAGGGGTATGTTTGTCACATTAGAGTGGAGCTGGTCTAAACAAGCTGTTCCTGAGATGTAAGTAATATCAGGAGTTAGATGAGACAATTCAGGCACACAAACAGCTGTGACTGAGCTAGATAACCTACACACACTGAAGTTTAAGACTGTGGTATTGAAGAAAGGAAAGAGCTTTCTTTGGATCTTCCTCTCCTTGGTCATGACACTACTATAGAGAATAAAATTTTCTTTCCTCATCAAGACATTCAAGTTCTTCAGCCTCCACAAATGCTACCCGAAGATGAAGTAGAAGCTATTTGACTTTCAGTCAAATATTTGAATATGAATTGAATACTGAGTAATTCACACAACTATTGAATAATGAACATTTACACAGTATTAAAGTGCCCTTGTTTTAATCCTCTAGCTAGGAACTGAAGAGTTTCTACGACTTCTAAAACTTTTATAGCCTTCTGTAGATTGGAGGCAATGTAATCACTGCCATCTCTACATCTGTGAATTTTTGCCTCAAGGCCTCCTTTATTCCAAAACCAACTACCAAGATTTAAGGGGGAATTCCAGCATGATGATGCCACATGTGAATATTCATGGTTCAAGAGTAATACCACAGCCATTTTATCCCTCCCCCAACCCATTGAGCTTCAAGAACTTTTATATTTATACACACACAGTGTGAGAGCTGAATATCAAAACTCACACAAGTTTTTTTCAATCCTGGGACGCTTCAATGGAACATCACCTCCTTTAGGTATTTTCCGACATCTTAACTCCAAAGTTATGGGCTGCAGTGTCTGAGAACTTGGCTCTAGAGATTTAGATAACAGAAGAAAAATGGACTGAATACAAAGCTGTGAAACACTTTAACACAAATTCCTAAGCCTCACAATCTAAAATACTGGACTTGCATAGAGCTTCATCCAGCTTTCTAAAACCCACACAGTGGTATTCAACTCTACTACAGGTATGCATTATACTACATGATGGTTATTTGTCTAAATCTAATCTCTGACCAAACCACCAAGGCTTCAAACATCAGTGTGCTCTTGGCTGTCTTGAACAAAGATGAACTTAAAAATTTTTAAGACTTTCTAGAAATTTAGATTGTGAAAGAGCAAGACACTTCTTATTCCTTTAGGTAAGTTTAAAAGTGTTTTGGTACATGCCTAAACACTTAAGCTTGGCTACATACCTGTGGGAGGTGTTACCGGTGGTCTGCCACGCTTTCGCTTAGTTTCCTTCACATTTTCCTGTGGACTCTTTACCTTGTCATTCTCAGGCTTCTTGTCAATTTGTGTATCTACTGAATATTCCATATCATTCTCTGATATATTCTCTTTATCTTCTTTTCCATTCTTAGATATATTCTTTTCTGAGATCTTGCCTTTTTCTGAGATGACTATAAATTTTCCCTCTTTATCGGGCTGTTTAACTCGTTTCTCAGTCTTTAATGTCTTTTCATCTTCGTCTTTCTTTGCACTACCTGTTGCCTTCCTCTGCTCTTTAAATTTCTCCTGGTTTTCAGGAGATGACGGAATTTCATTACCTCTTTCCTTAGGCTTAGCATCACCCACAGTATTCTAGAAAAAAAGAGAGTGACAGTAAAATCAATTCACTGTAGTCTAAAAGCCACCCCTCTCCTTTTTATTTAGCAGCCCTGCATCTTTGTCCAATTTTTCAGGTGCTAACAGTACATGCTCTATTGCAATCCACAGATTAAAACTTAGAGGCACCCAAACTGGTGAAGGACCGGTGCAATGTGAACAAGACAGGGCAAGAAATCCATTCTTCATCATGCAATGACAGAAGAGCTTGGCTGTTCCTTTGTTGCCAGATGTAGGCTGGGTCCCTAGTGCAGTCCCTAGCTTGTGCAGTACTACGTAAAACCTACTTGGGACACTGCAGGAAGAGTGGGAGTCAGGAGCATAGAAAGCAGCAAACAGCTCAATGGCTCGAATGTGCGAACTCTCTTCCTTTCACAGAAGGGTCTCAGTCAAAACAGACACATAGCTTGCTTGCACTTATCACCCTGCTGACACTGCTAGGCAGAGTCATGGAAAGCAACTGCAATCAGCAAAGTCATCAGGAACCACGTGATGTTAGAAGTTAAACATTTAAATTTAAAAACAAAACTTAAATTTTTTTTTCTGTAATTTATGTTCAGCATGAAGAGACATGAAAATCCTTAATAATCCCCAGCCAGCACACTACTGAGGCAATGTTCAACTGCCAGCCCATTTCCCCATAGTTCTTACTGGGTAACACCATGAAGGGGCAAGGAGGATGATATATGCTGATTATGTTTATTTCCCCTTCCAGTGATCCTGCTACAGGCTGTCCCAGAACAGAAACCTTCTAGCTTTGAACATGAATTAATAATTTATATTTGGTCATATGTCAACACTGCCTTTAGCTCAACTAACTTTTCCTGTTGCCTAACCAAAGCATTAAAAAGTAACCATGCTTCTTCCCAGGCAGGTCTACAGGGCACAAGAATCTTCAACTTTGACCCAGGATCAGGAAGATAGGAAAGGCTAAATACCCCAACACCTTCTTTATACTTTTTAACATATTTTCAGACCATTGCCTTAAGAAATACTAAAATACTAAATACTAAAATAGTGAACGTGCAATCTGCTCCACCCTCTATGATATTACTTCAACCATACTTGGTACAGGTGTGACTAAAAAAAAAAAGTCACTTTAAAAACGTGAAATCGAATTGCTATGTATTTCATGAAAAGAGACAGGTAAATAGGAAGTATTTAACATGTAAAGCACCCCTTTTACCATCAAGTTTGTATTCTGTAAATTCCTGAAGGGAGAAGCTTCAGCAGCAACTCAAACATCAGGGAAAAAAAAAAAAACAACCAACCAACCATAACCAAAACAAAACAATCCCACCCCAAACAAAAAAACCCCTACCATCTCAAAAAACAACCCTAAGGCAACTATATTTCAACACCTCAGATGCTCACAAAACCATCTGATTTGAATCAAGTATGCACCTCTGGAACACTTATAAGTCATGTCAGTCACAACATTCTCAAGCAACCGAATCATGAACACAGTAAGTCTGAATTACCTCTTGGTGTTACTGAACTCTTAGAAGATGTGTGTCCTGGCAAAGGTACATTCACACTGTTACAGGTTATTAGCATTTTTCCATCACTGTTCAACACAGCCAGTTACACCCTCTACACAGGGACCGAGTAATACTATAATTAAAGAAATTATGACCTGCTTATGTTGCTCCCTTCAGGAATTGTGTGGTTTGTATCCCTTTTTTTCGTTTTCTTAACAAGTACTAAGATACGAGCCATGAGTGCCTTCATGACTCCAACCTTTCTTCCTGAAGAACAGGAACAAGACACCTCCCCTCCACTTCCAACATGCTGCTACATTACTGCTATACCTGTTTTTTCTAAATCTTGAGCACTCCAGTGGCTCAAGTACTTTTTTAAAAAAAACTTTACCTCTGGTTGTATAAATAGAGCTCACTAGGAAATTCTCACTTATTGCTTTTCTGTGCTAAAGGACAGAAAAAATGTTCTACCATAACTTAGGAGATTCTCTTGGGCTAAGAGAAATCTTGGACAAAGGATAAAAGGAAAAAACAAAAAAGAATCAAGCCAAAAACTCCTTTCATTTCCTTTCAGAATCTTTCCAAAGCTATGAAGAATCATAAAAATATTTTGTCTCTCCTTTAGGAAGTTTCGTTTTCTTATGCAGAGTACTACTTCAGATTGTTTAACTCCATTTACTTAACACTAAATATAATAACATTTCTCACGGAAATAAAGATTCTGCAGTAGTTCACCTGTGAGTATTAGTCAGCTTTCCACTACACACAATGATAACAATTTAAAAGCTTTATGGCAAAATGTGAAATAGTGTTCCCTCCCAGGCTGGTAGATACAGAAATCTGGAGGACTGGCATACCTCTCCACAACAGTGACAAACCTAAATTGTAACACTGACATTCATTACTGGAATCTGCATTTAAGACTTGTGCTGGGGGGACAGAGTCAATTTCTTCAACCAAACTTAAAGTTTCAAAAAACTAATGGCAGAGAGCATGACAAAAAAACCCACAGGCTATAGTTACCACACAGCAATGTGTGGCAAGAGATCAAACTTAAAACCCTGCCTGCAATGAAAATTATTCTGAAGCAGGTATTTAAGAAGTTTTAACCAAGTCACTCAAGACCAGATCTTGGTCAGCCTTTCCTACATGTCTATACAGGAAAATCGAAGTACAGAGCAGCACTTCTTCCTTCTCACCATCAGCAGGACAGTTGTTTTTGTTTGATTTTTTTTAAATGTAATGGCTCACTACTACTTTCTTTCATGAGCTAAAGGTTGAAACCACCACACTGAGCAGATGAAGGGTTCGTAAAACAGTCAAATCACAGAAGGAAAACAAGGAATAGTTTAAAAAGCTGATTTTCTCAAAGTTGTGAGGTGAAAAGATTAATAGCCATGTTCCCTAAAAGTCTCATGAATACTAAGCAGTTACTTTGGGAAAGAATACTTTCTGTTCACTCCATAGCTGGCACTCCTTTAAATATATATCTGTATAAAAGTAAAGCAATCTCGAGCAGGTAAAACAATCACGATTCAAAAACCTTACCACTAGCTTTAGTATGTATGTACGTTTTGAATTTTCCAACAACTTTTAGAAATCTGTTTTCCTTTTTCCTTATATACTATGACTTCTTTAGTTCAAGAGGTGCATTTAAAGAACTTGAGAGCTTTGCAAATCATACCACAAAGATTCACATTTTATTTTAAGGGATTCCCCTTAATGAAGGAGAAACGAAGGCCCCTTTTCATTTTAAGGGACTTCATTTCAGACATACTGTATTTTAGGAGTAAAAGTTTTTCATTAATTTCACGTATTCAACTATCCTAGCCACCTGAACTGCTCATTTATGAATACACTAGCTGCACAAACACCATACTTACCTGACCTTTGGAAAAAGCTTTGACATGAATGTTTTTGACTGTCTGAACTACACCATCATAAAATTTCACAGTGTAGGTACCTAAAATATGGAAACAAAATGCAAGAGTTCAAAGAAGTTATTTGACACAGCATCAGCTAACAGCTCCAATACTCCAGCTGAACAATTAGCTCTAGAAAAAAGCTGCTTCACCTGTGTTGTTAGAACCCTCAACACAGAGCTCCTATCACAGGCCAGGGAGACACAGCAAAGTTATCCAAAACAATTCTGGCCAAAATAAAGGTGTGTCCATGTCTAATCTTAGAGTTGCTCCTCAGATACACCTTACTCACAAAATCCCAAAATATTTTTGGTGGAATATTCCAATATATAATTACACAGCCATTTTCTACATCTTACAACATACACAATCTAAAGCAAGCCCAGCAGTAGAACAAATCCTCCACAGTTCCCCCTCCCCTTCTGATTTTTAAGGGGGTTTTGCAACTCTGCCAATAGGTTTTATTGCAGCTTACAGGCAAGTACAACAAATTTAGGAATCAACTTTTCCCCACACATATACTTAAAGCAATTACTGACTGATGCCAGCAGAAGGTTTTTATCTCATAAACAAGGTAAGAGGGTAAAAAAGTTGATGACAGACTAAAACACATAGTTGAAAATGCAATTTTTCACAGCTTTTTTCCATCTTCTATAATATCTCTCCACCAAAACAATGAGGTTTCAGCACAATTAGAAATACATGACTACTAGACATGACAAAACCAGGAGGAGTCCTTACCATCTTTGTTAACAGAAGTAACTTTGGCTGGATAGAAGCGACAGTCAGACCAGCATGCCAATACCTGATCATTGATATGAAATCCCTACAAAAAGTTAAAAGTGTCTTCATCTGAGAATTACTGAAACATACAACTTTATTAAAACATTTCAATTACTAGCATTCCAAGTTTTAGAAGAAATCATAAAATTTACACAGCAGGTAACACAGCAACAGTGAAGCTTTTTAAAGGTCGTCATTCATGCGAACACAAATTAAACTGTTATGCACACATATGTACTCCAATTTCTACTTACTGCACAAGCTTCTTCCTCATGCAATCCTTCTTTTCTTAACTGTATTTTCTCTAGGGGACGCAAATAAGGACTGTCCCAACAAAACCATTCATCATATCTATGGTTCCAGCGCTTGAAATGGATAAGTACTTTCCCCTCTTCATAATCAATTTCTTCAATGTGGGCTGGATACCTGGTTAAAGGTAGATTAAAATACTTTAAGAATAAGGCAAGCTGTCTCACTTTAAGGCAAGCTGACACTTTATACAAATAAACCTTGGTTTAACTCCTCCAATCTTATTAATGTGACGTACCATTTGTATAAGCAATAAAGATGCTATAAAATGATGGAGCAAAGCACATAATGAAACCCAAAACTGAACAGCAAATGCATACACTGGCTGCAGCAAAAGGAGACAACTAAGGAGTTCTTAGTCTGGGGTGGAAAAAGAAATTTAACTACAGATTCAGAAGTCAGAAAGACCTTCCCTACATCTAGAAATGTAATATTTTACAAAATCAATAGTTTCAGTTCACTCTTATCAAGAGTAACGCCTGGGGGGTCAATACACGGACTTCTCTGAGATACCCATCACGAATCATCTACGCAATGTAACACCAAAAACCCAGCAGGCACACTAATGTAATTTAAGTTTTAGATTCTCAAAGTTAAATTTCATCTGCACAATCCTGGGGTTTTTAAATACAAATTTCTTAGTACATTAGAAGTAGAGGAATCTGAGATGAGTCAAATTCAAATGTTTCTGATCAGGAAGACATTGTAAACTCTGTATTTCTTTAAATTGCATTGGTAATTTGTAACTTTAGTAAGTATTTAATTAAAATCACAGCTATTTCACTATCCCAACTGAAGGTAATATTCCAAGTACAATGCTTTCCCTTCCATAATAGTAACATCCATAGGAAATTTCCATTTGTTGGTGTTTTCAGTATTCTGGAAGAAGGGCAAGGCCTCCATGAATTCTTGAACAAAGGGTGAAGACGAAACTCAAATCCACAAGTATTCTTTATCTGGTAAACCACATTTGAAAGACAGAGGAAGTGGCAGAAAGAAGTGGCATCGCTAAACAATCAAGCCTGATGCTAACAGTAAAGCCTAGACATGCACGAATTAAGACTCAAATGCAAACCAGGCTGCCATTTTACAATCCTACACAGAGGGGAAGCAAGTCTACCTACAACTGAAACCCTCCAGCAGATCTAAGACACGTCCAGTTGTGACTTCACAAAGAGCTACAAACAGGCAATGCTGGAGACTTACAGTGCAAATATATACTAAGGCCTTGCTTAATACTCACTTGGCACACACATCAAGCTATGCCATTAGCTCATCCCAACGTATTACCAAAGTGCATGCAGCAAAGACTGGGGAGAACAGGAACTCAAAAGGGAAATACTTATGGCGGGGACATCTGTAACTGATTACCAATTTATTGGAAAAAAAAAAGAAATTTCTTCCTGTGACAGTCAAGATATTTTATATTTAAGTAACTCAAGTACTATCCTCTACAAGTTCATGAGGGGGCAATAGTCACAGTCACAACCTAGTTCTACTAAACAGATTATATTCGGGTATCACTAAATACAGGTAATGACAAAAATCAGCATCCCATTTCCTACAATCTGAGTGCAGCAAAAACAGGTAAGAAATCCCAGATCCTCTCAACAAGAGAGCAGCCACAAGGGTGTTCTCATCATTGGGACTGCAGTACGCATAGGACTTGTCTGTTCAGTGATTAAGAGGGATGCTGATAAAAAGGACAGACTGCTGACTCAGTATCAAGCTAATTATCTCGTCCAAGCAGATAACCAACTCTGGGAAGCACAATGCACTTCCTACCACTGAGGTGAGACAAGCCCAAGTTACAGGAGCGAACTAACTCAATGATGCAAGACTGCTCCGTGCTTCATGTCCAGCAAAAGGAAGAATTTCTCCACCAAAACTGTCACCCCAGAATCACATATCAGTGCCATCTGCACCTATCCCACTCCACTAGCGGGAGTCAAGATCATCAAGAAAAGCACATCTGACAATGAGAACAAATTTCAGTCTACTTGAGTAAGTGTGGTTGAGCTAGAGCTCTCAGCTCTTGGAGAACATGCTGCAAAGCCTCAATATCTCCTCTTTCTGAAGCAACAAACATCAGTAAACATACACTCAATGCTCTTCACTAGAGCAGTAAACCTATTAGAAGCAGGGCTAGACCCATCCATGAACTCTGACAACCACCTCTCGTTGACACCACCTTCCTTTCAGATGAGAGCACTGGCAGCTAGAAAACAAAGCAGAAAGGTTCACAGATTCTCAATAGCCTTGAGCACCACACACTGACAGGCCAAGCTTCCTTCCTCCCACACCTTTTGCAGAACTGAGCAAGCACAGCACATCAGAAGGCACAAGTGCTCACAGATCTATACAGCATTAGCCATATACTTCCTCCAAACAGGCTGTGAACATACCGAGGGGTAGAGGTAACTTAAAAGAAATTCAGACTTGTTTATAAAAAAAAATACTATGAGAAGATACACAAAGTAAAAGGCCAATAGCTGAAGCCTGGCTAAGGCCCCAGAGTACAACTGAGGTATGTCCAGGGTGGCCCAACACATCCTCCCTCAAACCACAAAGGAAGTATTCAGCTGACTCAATGGGCATTCAAGACAGCTAACTGATCCTGGATAAGAAAACCCCAAATGGCACTGATTTAAATATTTATCGTAAAAACTGTGAAATCAGAGAAAATGTCTTGCAACACACAGGGAGGGCAAAACAACTAGTTTTCCAGCTGAATTTGAAAGGAATGATAAGCTCACATGTTTCAAGGATTTATGAACTAGCTAAACACTATGGAAAAATCTCTAAGATGCCCGAACTGCTGGCATTAGTTTTCTAAGAAGCTACTGAATAGACTATGGTTAGTAATGACTGGCAACTTCAGACTACAGCTGACAAAGCACAGCAAATGGTATAAAAATGAGTTTATGGTAGACAAATGTAAAACTATCCTCTTCTGGGAAGAGGTAAATATCTGGAAATTCCCTGGACTAGTTTGTTTCCCTTCTCTTTTCCTACATACCAAAATAGAATTGCTATGAAACCTCCCTCCCCCGGAAGTAGGAAGGGACAAGCTTAGTGCAGTTAAAGCAATGCAGAGAGGAAAGGAAGCATCCAGGAGAACCAGCACTGTGAAGGACAACAGCTATAGTGGTTCATCTTTTCAGTACTAGACCAACTCCTGACAGTATGAACAACTGAACTCGTGGGACTGACAATCTGAATCTTAACAGGGTAGCACCATACTCTCAATATTACTCCAGAGTTCTAATCAGAATCAAAAGCCCCTTCACATCCATTTTACCCAGACAATGGACAGAAAAGCTTGGATGTGTCATTACAACAAGGTAAACAAAGGTAACATCATTTGCCTATTACAGGCATCCAGTGCAGTCATCTTCTTTTCAGAAAGAGGATTGCAGCTAGCCACCACCCAATCAGTTTAAATGATCCAATTCAAAAGGCTTCAGAAAGTCAATTAAGCTGGGACAGTGTGCCCACGTGCATGGCTACAGCAACCCCTCTGGGATCCTTCCACTCAGGGCTGCCCTACTGCAGCAGTCCCTCTTCTTCATCCTCTGAATTCCAGCACTATGTACCAAGACACCTTTCAGTACCTACAGAGGCTCTCTCCCTACAGCAACCTGAGGCCAACAGACATATCATTCATGGAGTCTCGATGCATCAACCCAACTCACTGTACTCCCTGGAGTTCAACTTAAGACGTGACAGACAACCAGCAATTGCAGTGCATTGCCAATATGCTACGATTCCAAATACAACAAAGCAACCTCTGGGACAAGCAGTAAAGATGCCAAATTCACCTTGCACTTTGACAAGGAGCTTTATCTTCACCAGGGTTGACAACACATCCAAACACCTTGGAAGTCCTTAACTAGGAATTTGGGGCAATCACATGCCATTCACGTGAGAGAGGTACACAGCACTCCGGCATGAAACATTTTCCAAAGCATCACTGCCAATGGACTGGCAATAGACCTACAGGCCCATGAACTGACGGATGTATTTGGTACTGAGAACAGAAATCAAAGCCAGCACTTTAACCAAACAGGAGATTTTTGACTATGTTTTAGCACCAATACAGCAACAAAAGTACACACAAGGAAAGTTTGGACCTCCAAAGGTCTAGCACTAGGAAAAGCAGGTGTCAGCAAGCAGAAAATCCCATGCCCCCACAGGACTGCACTGTAACCACACCATGGAGTGGTACTGGTCACACAGGGGAAGACAAAAGCAGCAGAGAAGAAAAAACAGTCTGCTGTCCTCTACAAATCCACACCCAGTGAGTTGTGTCAGCACTGATAGTTTTGCTAAGCCCCCAGCTCTTAAAAATTTTCATTTAGAAACCCTGAAAATGCAAATGCACACAATCCAGGGTTCAAAGCTTAGCAAGTAAACAAAAGATTTCAGAACGGGGGAGTTCATAACTAAGTTGCGAGACCAGAGCTGCAAAGTGCTGTGTGTAGGACAGGTCATTTACGGTCAAGTGTTTCCAAAAACCAAAGAACATGGAACAAATAGCATATCCAGAATTCAAATTTAAGCCAAGGGATATGCAGAAAGTAGAGCAGGTTGTTGAATTCCCCCCACAAAGTATTCCCATGCAAGTGTTATGTACACTCAGACACTGCTGTTGAGCAAACATGTCAGAAGGATAACAGACATGGGCACAAGTTATTAGCCTTACTCAAACACCAGCTACACCAAACTGCATCTTTGAAAAGGCTACATTACAGACAGGCTAAGATCTTATTTTTGTAAGCCTGACTACTTTTTTTGCTGTACTAACAAAACTCAAGAATATCGAAAATGCAGGCAAGTTCAGATAGGTGCTTATGTACACAACTCTCTGTTACACAGGTAAGCTAAATTAATGTGTGAATAGGATTTATTGTCGATACTTTATATTTTTTGTGGAAAGAGCTATGTTCTCATTTCCACAAATCCAATGCCCTTGTACCTGGAGAGAGAACATGCTCTGCATGCAACCGAGCTGTTTTGGAATAAATTCCCTGTATCTAAGGCAGTACACCATCCTCCTGGGATGTCCAAATTGTGTTCAGTGCTGACTTTGCACACTTCACCTGTTGGCAGGTTCCAGAGCTTTAAGTACAATCATATCTAACCCACACAGACTTCTCAATAAAAATCAACTCTCATGATTTCTGGAAAGATAAGTTTTCTACAGGAGCTAATAATACCAAATTAATTCCTGTATTTAAGAAGTCTTCGGCAATTTTAATTTTATCTCTCATTCACTGAGAATTATTAAATGCTAAGTTTTGAGCTGACTATCTGAAACGTACAGAGATATAAAGTTCGAAGTTAGCCCAAGTAATTTGTGGGCTCTTTTTCATCTTCCTAATGGAGTGGTTAGTGAAGAAAAGTATTCTTCCTCACAGCTGAGAGCTGCAAGACAGGCACCAGACCAGACTTGTTAGCACGGAACGTTTCCCCACACAGTTCTTTAATTCTAAAGCTGACCACCCTCATATAAGCACAGGCCTAACAAATTCAATCAGATTTTAGAGCCTATAAATCCACAACAGCACCAGGAAAGGAAACAGCGAGGATATTCTGTACTGCGAAGAATTTATTCTTCGTAATATCTGCTCTGCAATATTAAGTATAGCATAAAACTTAAAAGGATGAATTCAGGAGAATGAGAGCCTGAAGTCCAACTAGATTTAGGAGCAGTCCTATTCCCAGACAGAACACCAGTACACTTCTGGAGGGCCAGCACAACATATCAGCATCTATCGCCCATCTCAATCACTGGTATATAAACTTCTATGAATTAACTACTTTCCTACAAACCAGTGACTACGACTCTAAATACCGTACCAATACAAAATGTTTAAGATAGTAAAGACTTAAAATTAATATAACATGAATGGTTTTAAAAATATACCAGTTTTTTAATCTGTCACGGGCTTCCAACTGGGCTCCCACCTCAAAGTTGATCCCTCTTCTATTCGGAGGATGTTTTGTCATTTTGTAATATCAACACTGCTGATTTTATTCCCCTGAAAAATGCAATTAAATATCAATCACTAATCAAGACATACACAAAATAAGCTTATGTACTATAATTCCCAGAAGCCAGATGTTAAGAGACCACTTTAATTTTGGTTTGCAGAAAGTAAGAGGGAAATTATTTTTTAAAAAAAGGTTCCCAAGTGAGAGTGTGCAGAATGATTCCAAAAGCATGTTCAAAATGGCAGCTACCGGACCATGAAAGAGCGAAGCTGAGCCTCTGTCCACTGGTCCAAGTTCTAGGTCAATTGAGAACCAAGCAACCCAACGTTTATTCACAAATGACACGGAAGTTTCATAGTATTTTCTCCCCCCTCCCGGTTTTGATGAAAACAAGGAATCCAGTAAACAGGAAGTGGGCAAAACAAACACAATGACAATCTTTCACCAGCTACCACATTAATGAAACACTCTAAAACACTATGTCACCTCATCACTGAAAGTGCAATAAAGTTCAAAGACATTAGAAATATGTAGTTTTTAAATCCAATTTTAGAAGACTCCCTATACTACTTGCGTATTTGCATGGCTTTCGTCCAACTTCTTCACTGTTTTAACCAGAAAAAAAAAAGTCTTTATTAATATTTGTTTCCAACAGATAATATAAAATTTTAAGAAATCTTGCTCTAGTAGTTTCTCTCAATGTACACATAGTGAAAAAGCCTGGTCAACAGCTATTTTTCCTGATTTTTTTTTTTGCTCGATTGTTTCCCACAATTTTAAGATAGATGATGGTGATCCATTCCTGTAGTCTTCAAGTTCACAAGACCCAAAAACACAAGTAAATCTTATTCAGTATCACTGTCCTTACAGTAAGACTGTATCTTGAAGATTCAATTACAGATGGACAAAATTGGTACAAGTTAAAAAATCCGTCTAGTCTTACACTACAAGAACAAGAAGATATGCACAGAAATAAGCACTGGCGTTTTGGCTCCCATAAGGCATAAACAGTAATGGTATCAACTGAGCTACATCTACAAAAGGGTTAACAACGTGAAGAACTACTCTAATTTCAAGTGTGGTTCAGAAATCAAAGATCTTTAGGAATACTACAAAGCTTCTATGGATGACAGGAATGTCTATGAACAAAATGAACTTCTATGAACTTTTCTGTAGGGAAAAGCTACTCCTTCACCACACTTTTTAAGCCAGGCCATTTGCCAAGGGCTGGCCATAGAGACAGCCCAACCACCTCCATTCAACCACCACACTGCAAAGCAATGTCTCTACTGAAAGCTCATCTGCTGCCTTCCTCTAAAGCAGTGCTTTTATACTGATCTTCATCTCTACTAAAGCAGCCTGCAAAGATGGGGGGAAAAAAATACTATTGCCTCTCAGTTTGATTCACAGCAAAAGATAAAGTATTCTAGTCACCTAGGAACTGAAAAAAATTAGTTTCTTACAGTAATATCTGATAACAGACTGAGTTCACACATCATAGATCTGAATCAGTCCAGTCTTCTAATAGTTAGGGTGGGAGTCCATAACTTTTAATTAGGAAAGGAAATTAAGAAAAACTGAAGATTGTTGGGATTTTACAGCTTATGTTGCATCAGAATGTAGAAATTGGGGAAAAAAAAGGCAGTAAATGCAAAGCTGTATTTTAATTTCAGGAGGTTTATCCACCCACACTTCAAATATCCACTATTTTCTTTGCAGATTAACATCATTAAAATACACCTTTCTCACACTACCAATGCAATTTCATGCCTCCAAACGATGAGCAGACATATATTTTGCTTAACACTTGTAGAAGAAATGACATCTGCGAGGTGATTCTTTCCCTAGTACGATTATTCCTCCCTGTCACTAAGGAGGGACATGCAAAGCCAACGGACTCCCACAGGCACTCCTGGTACATTATTTAGTCCTCCTCACTAAGGGCTGCCATCTACATGCAAGGGATTCAGCTCAGCTCACCTCCATGGGGCTGGAGAGGAACATACATACAATAGGGCTTCTATAAACACATCAGTTTTGGTGAGGAAGGTCTTACTATGGTTCCAGTCAAATATTTTAAACAGGAGTAACACAACTAACAGGAATTCTGAAGACAACAGTCAAAGCCATTTAATCAGAGTTACAGAGGCAGCAGATTCCATGAAAACCTGATCACAGCTAGTCAGCTAACACTAACATTAGTCAAAGCACACACATACTGCACTTCACTAACTTGGCCAAGCTTATTAGAAGGCAGTAGGTCACAAAGTTGAAAGAGAGAAAAAATTTTATGAGCAAAAAACTCACATCATTGGCCCCTCCTCCCAAGTCCTCCTTTCTCTTCCCTCCCAAGTTAAAGAACTTGGGCTGCTTTAGGTTCTCTCATATCCTACCACTGGCTTGCACTGTGACCCAACAGTCCTGCTCCTCAGACCATGAAAGCAGGCTGGCTTTTCCATTTGCAGCCAGTTTCAGGAAGAGCTTTCTCAAGCAGATGTATTTGGCAGAAAATTACATGAGATAAATTACTCGGTAGAGGGTCTCAACCATTTTACCCTGAAAGGTCCAGCCTTAGAGCAAGAGTGAAACCATGAGACAACTTTTATTGAGAACCGTGACACAGCTCTGCACAAACTAGGCCAAGAGGCAGCGCCGAAATGCGCTTCAGCACCACCACCGTAACCATACTGATACCTTCATTCCTCAGAAAGCAAGCACTGAACACAGGGGCTTGCCTACTTCGAGATTTTATGTTTCAGCCTCTGTCCTGCCCAGAAAAGACTGCTTAAAAATCCTGAACTACATCAAAACAGCTTGTCAATTAACAACCCCAGACTGATTAGACATTCATAGCTACAACTTGGAAATAAGAATGCTTTGCCAGAACATCTCTCCTAAAATTCTTTTCACCAGAAAATCAATTTGTACTAACTTGGTACCTAAACCAACACAAACAGGATTTCTACTCTGATAATTGAGAATACATTTATCCATGTATTCAAGACCATGATTAAAACAAGGAGACTAGGCCTACACCAAGAGCTGTATGGCTTTCTCCAAAACTTCTTACTTCTCTATGAAGAGCAGATCTGTTTCAGGGACAAGTACTTCAGGATTTAGACAAATCACTACTTCCAAAAGAAAATGTTTCTAAATCTGTATTATTAAAAGAATACATGTTATTTAAAAGAGAGAGTCTTTTCTTCTCCATCAAAGTCATCGTAAGGTTAATTTAACTTTTAAAGACTATTCAACTATTCAGACACAGGTGTAAGTGAGGAAGGTACACTTATCTCAGGGCAATGCAGAAGAAAATATATTAATATTGATCACTTCAGGGATCACAACTATGACTTCTAAAACAAGCTTTCTGCTCTGCTAACAGTGCAGGTCCTGTACACCATCACCTGTACTGTACACCTTTACTCTCTCCAGTTTTAGGCTCTGTCAGTGCAGAACCTCAAACCTGGCATATCACTAAATTCCAACAGAAGTGGGCTCCTCCGGAAACTGAAAATCTGTTTCATATTATCAGACAGAGCAAACCCAAGCAGCTATGGCAAACTTTCACTAATAACAGCCTCTACCGTTTCCTCTCTGGAAACCGCAAAATCACTGCGGCCTTTTCCAAATCACACCTACCCTGGCAAAAACTATTTTCCAAATCCCTGCAGAGTGATTAAACCATTCCTTTACAAATTGTCATACCAAAACCCCTTCCTTGAAATCAGCCCCACTTTTAAACTTCATTTTGTCTTACTGCTGCTTACTGCAATTCACTTTCACAATTCAGCCCATTTCCTTCATTCTTCTGTGCATCCATGCCAAACCCAGGGATTTCCCTCCCTCTGCCATGAGGATACAATAAAGAAAAAAAGAGTAACACCATGGGAAAAAAACCCCATAGTTCTCTGACCCGATAAAGGAGCACAGCCAACTTTGACAGTTTGCATAAATGTAATCCTAGTTTGCACTGAAAATTTATGTTTTATTCTGGATGGGAAGCTTGCTGTCCAAATTCTTAGGGGGCAGTCAGTATCTCGGTGGTGATTCCACAGGACTACAGGGTAGGACAGGTAATAAAAAGCATTGGTAAAACCAGGAAGTAAAAGCAACTAGCCAGAGATTGTCTTGTATTCCCTAGAGATGCAGCACAGATGTTGCTGATCTGGGGTACTGCAGGCAGCACTGCCACTCCTACACAAGCAACACAAGCTTGTTTTGTTTCCGTCTAGGACAAAGCATGTTTACGAGTTGATTCCACATAGCCTAAGGCTAAAACAGACTCTGCCATCCTCTCCAGCACCTGTTCCAAATCTGCTGGCACATCTACATATGGAACTGCCAAGGACTAAGTCCATTCAACACTTCGTACATCAGGTTTCTTTCACCCTGCAGTAGTTAGTTTTGACCTTTTATCATCTGCACCCATGACACCAGCCTCACGTCTCCAACAGCAAAAAGGATGAAAGCCTCACCCAGTTCACCCCCTACAATATGCACGCCCCCATCGGGAATGGTCAATCCAGAGAAGTCCATGGTCCCCACTGCAATTGGAACACCTTGCAAGTGGATGACCACAGCCATGCTGTGCTGAAACCACACACCTGCAGATGAGAAAAGGTATGATATCAGACTGCAAAACAGTATTTACAGACACCAGTTATACTATACAATCCAGTGGCATCTTACGAACACTAAGAGGAAGTCTCACAAGCACCACTTAAAAACTGTATTGGCACTGACATGGGAAGCTGATTACAACAGATTTTTATTGTCTGCAGACAAAACACCCTCTGCCTAGCAGGTTTTGACTACAGCAGCAGTGCTACCATGAAGTATGCCTTACTGTGTTTTACCCTACACATAAAAACAGATATAAAACCTCTATACTTGCTAAACATGTTTACCCAAGAAGAGTTTGTGTTCATCCCAGCATGTCTGCTCCTGCCCATATTGGTTTTGTGTACCATTTCAAGGTAGGCGACTGTCGTCAGATGTGACCCCAAGTTTCAGATTATGTCCTTCTCACCGGTATTTCAAACCACAATGCTTAGATCTTCAGTCAAGTTTTTGGGTTTAGGGGTCGTTTTTTTTTAAGTAACAGGAGCAGGAACATGAAAGATTTAAACTGGACAGGAAGACCTGACACTGCAACAAATCTCATGGAATTCTGCATCACCCCTCTTCTTCTATCCAAAAGACACATTTCAAACAAGACACTGGACTATACACAGTTCTTATCTGCACAATGTAGCATCCTCAACTACATATTCGCTAGCACTCACTTGCTTTAAAACCTTCCCAGATTCAATTAACAACTGCACGGGTGAACTCTGAGCCACACAACACAGAAACTGGATCCTGAACTGATACTTAATATCTCTGTAAGAAGAATGCTGAACAGCTGATTCCTCACCACTGCCATTCCCTCAAACTGGAAGACCTGAGAACCTGATTTCAGTCTCCTACTTTTCCTCTAGTTTATACAAGTAGAGTAAGAGAACTGACACCAGTAAAAATCTCTATTTGCTCCTCTCCTCAAGCAGAACTAAGATTTTCCCAAAGTACTCGGTGACAAAAATGAAAAGGTGTTACATGAGTGAGCCTCTGAACAAGATCCTCACTCTCTCCCCGAGACTACAAGGCCTGAAGAACATAATTTTCATCCCCTCAGCAACATCTCGTGTAACTGTGTTGCCCGTTTCAACTGGTGCTGAGACTGGGACAGACCAACATGGAAGGAGAAATTACAAATATAAGCAATTCAATACAATTAAAAAAAAATAAATTTCTATAATGTGAAATCTATTTGAATTACCAAGTGCAATTAAAGAAATAAGTAGTCTAATGTCTGAAAACAATTATTTTTAGTCATTTGATCATGTCCCATTTGGCTGTTTTGGTTTCCCCTCTTTTCCTGTAACACACTGAAGATAAAAAACAAGCACCTAAGCACTGAACAAGTAAAAAAAAAATTGGAATAAAAAGTTTAAGTCACATAAAATAAATCATGTTTTTCCTAAATAAAGCAATACTAATGAAAACCTACTTTAATGAGACCACATATTTTCAGTTAAAAGAGAAAATGGCAGCCTTTAAGAATACAAGAATTCAATGCAGGTAAGTCTTGCAGAGGCACTGTGGATAGTATTTATTAAAACCTGAATTTCAAAGCAAAATTTCAAAAGCTTAAAGAAAAGCCACAATTTTAAAAAGGATATATGCTTATACTCACCAAGAAACTTGTTTATGTTGCTGCGAACATTCCAAACAGTGCTGTACAACTACAGGAAAGGAAAAATAAAAATCATGTGAAGTCTGAGACTAAAAGTAGTTCTGAGTTCAAAAAAATATTCTCTCTACAGTCAACAGTATCCCCATAATGGCATAATACCTCTTTAACAAAAATTTATCTGAAAATATTTCAGTACATGTGAGCAGGCTGCTGTGATCCAAACAGAGAGACACTTAAGAGACTCTTACAGACACTCTGCATATTCACATCAGATTTCTCCATCATTTATTTACCTGCTGTCAACTAAAAATCATCAGTAACTTTATCATTACTCCTACTTTGATGCAAGAGGTACTGCAGTATTAACTAACTACACAGTAACTAAGCAGTTCTCTCCTGTCAATGAAGACATCCTCAGTTAGATAATCTACATTCACTACATGGCAGAAGGAGCTGTGTTTTGCTAATACAAGAATGAACTACAAGAGCTTTTCCAGAATCGCTTCTTCATGCACAAATCCAATTCCTGTCAATACATGCAGGCTTTCTCTCACTGAAGGAGTGGCAAAAACAGCCATTTGAACTGTTCCCAGAAGCCTAATTAAGGCTGCAGACTGGGCACTCTAATGACATTTCTCATGGTTTCTACCTGAACTGAAGCTGCATAGAACCTGTTGAGGTTGAAGAATGGTATTCTCCCATAAAGTGCTCCCACTGAAAGGACAGTTGGAGGCACAAAAGGTAAAAATCATTGGTTGAGATAAGACCAATTTAGTGACAACAGCAATGATATAAGAAAATGAACTGTAATAGCAATGGTATTAAGAAGTGTACAAGAGAGGCAACCATTTCACACGTGAATGCTCACTGGAACCTGACACAATCTGACCACACTCATGCCACCCCAGCCTGGAAGGGACTCCTTCCCCACTTCCCAAAAAATTACGTGAGGTGGCGCAGAACTTCAGTACAGGTCAGCAAACTGCTATAATCCAAACTAGACAGATGCTTAAGAGACCCTTACAGGCACACAAACACTCTCTCTGCACATCCACATCAGATTCTAGCCACTCTCTCTTCTGCCTACTACAAAAATTAACCTTGTCCTGGCCAGAACCAGGACATTATCCATCCCTTATCCTATACCACATAAATCATGTCTAAATCCTATCCCCTTCCAACTATACACATATATACATATAGACATATATATATACACATACATACATACACAGACATAGATAACTACAAAAGCACAGGTATAACGTCCATCGTTCAATAGCTGTCCCTCCAAGATGTCTGTTGAGTTCATTTAATCCAAGACTCTGGATTCCATCCGTCCTAGAGTTCTTCTAGGGCAGATTGCAAACTGCATCAGTAGTTTATGACTGGTCTATCTGGAGCAGTCTATACATCTTGTCCATGGTAGTTAATGGCACACAGTAGCACTGTCATTCACCAACCAATATAATACAATTCAACATTACAGACTGTTCTCACCCAAAAATCAAATCCCTTTGAGGTACACATTTCCCTGTCCCTCTGCACTACCCAACAAGAGCATCCAGGTCCTTGAGCAAAAACAATCCCACAGATGGGCTTGCCTGAGGTAGAACTATCCCAAATTATCTTCCCTAATATATTCCTCATATTCTATCCCTCTTAGGGACTTCATCCCTTTCTACAGAAGGTGGACGTTTTAATTGTGAACGGCCAGCTTGACTGGCAGTGACTCAAGTGTTAACTAACCAGGCGGCTTTTGCTATATGTAGATCTCAAGGTCTAGTGGCTGCCCCACCCATCACTTTAAATATAGTTAACAGTCCATTATGCTGTTCAATTTTTTCTAGAGGCTGGTACCTGCTAAGGAGTATGATACACCCACTCAATCCCATACTCTCTGGCCCAGATGTCTACAAGGCTGTTGTCTGACTTAATTCTTTCTGGAGTGCCATTGTGCCATAGGACTTGTTTTTCAAGGCCCAGATGGTATTCTGGGCAGTGCTGTGAGGCACAGGGTAGGTCTCCCAAGCATCCAGTGGTGCCTTCCAGTACTGTCAGCATGTAACACTTGCCTTGGTGGCTCTGCAAGAGTGTGATGTAATCAATTTGCCAGGCCTCCCCATATTTGTATTTTGACCGTTGCCCACCATACCACAGGGGCTTTACCCACTTAGCCCTGCTTGACTGCAGCACATGTTTCACAGTCATGGATAACCTGGAGATTGTGTCCATGGTTAAGTCCACCCCACAGTCATGAGTTCATCTGTGATGCTGCATCTCTTTCCAAACGACATGAGGTGTCATGGGCTGCCCACTGAGCCAGAAATAATCCACCTCAGGCAATTTTACCTTGGCAGCCTGACCCACCTGCTCATTATTGCAATTCTCTTCAGTAGCCCAACTCTTGGGTATGTACCCAAATCTTGGGCATCTACATGACATACTTTTACAGTCCATTTCTCTACCCAGGCAGCCATGCCTTGCCACACTTCAGCAGCCCAGATGGGTTTCCCTCTGCACTGCCAATTGGTCTTTTTCCATTGGTTCAGTCACCCCCACAGAGCATTTGCCAACATCCACAAGTCAATGTAGAGGTAAAGCATTAGCCATTTCTCTCATTCAGCAGTATTTGAAGACAGCTGGACAGCTGTCAGCTCTGCAACGTGACCACCTTGTCCTTCAATAGTCTTACAGTGTAAGATTCCATATGGCAGCTTTCCAGCTTCAATTTGTCCCTATGATATGACAGGAAGCAGCAGTGAAGAGAGAGCATTGCTTTCCATTTTCTGGTAGCTGATTATATGGGGGAGCCTCCTTAGCATGGCGGCACCTTCTCCTCCTCCTCCTCTTCTGATGGTATAGATATTTTTGCCTTTGTGCTAGTTAGCGATTATTTCCAAGATCCCTGGATGATTGGGGTTTCCTATTTGAGTTCGCTGTGTGGTCAAAGCGATCCACTTACTCCACGTGGCATCAGAGGCATGATGTGTAGAAGGGAATTTCCCTTGGACACCCAGTCCAGCACTGTCAGTCAGGGTGCCAGAAAGTGCTGTGCTTCAGTGTCAATCACTTCCGACACTTCTGGCTCCAACCCCCTCATATAAACTGCCAGGATCTCTTCTTCAGTTGGGGTGTAACAGGCCTCAGATCCTCTTTATTACTGAATCCAGAACCCCAGCAGTTGTCTTCAAGTCTCCATGGATAATTTTTGTCAAAGAATGCAGGAAGGACCATGCTTCCCAACTGCAACGCAGAGCACATTTTTCACATCTTATCCTGTCCTGACTGGCTCAGGCGCTGCTGCACGAACAATCTGTTTAATTTGCCCAAAACTTATCGTTGTTGTTCAGGATCCCACCTAAAATCATTGCTCTCCCACATCACATGGCAGAGAGGGCTTACAATCTTGACTATTTTATGGAATATGCATCCTGCAAAAATCCACAGTGTCTAAGAAGGCCTGTGTTTCCTTTTTGCTGACTGGACACACTACTTTGATGACCACATCGCTGGACTCTCACAACATCCATCTTGCCATTTTACTCCTAGGAACTGAATTTTCTGGGCAAGTCCCTGATCTTGGCAAAAACAGCCTTCAGGAGGATTTGGATTATTTTCTCCCCTTTCTCAAAAACCTCCTCTGCTGCGATGATACAATGATGTCATCTATGTACTGCAAATGTTCTGGAGCTTCACCCTTTTCCAGTGCAGCCTGCATCAGTCCATGGCAAATGGTAGGACTGTTTCCACCTCTGGGGCTGTTGGCTCCAGGTGTACTGGATGCTGCTCCAGGTAAACACTAACAGTGGCATGCACTCTGCTGCTGAAAGAATGGAAAAAAAATACACTGGAAATCTCAATGGTGGCATCACTTTGCTGCCCTAGACTTCAGTTCATACTGAAGTTCCAGCATATTTGGCACAGCAGCACTCAGTGATGGTGTGATTTCATTGAGGCCACAATAGTTCACTGTCAGTCTCCACTCTCCACTGCACTCATGCACTGGCCACACAGGACTATGGAACATTTCCTCTCCAACCTGCTAGAGTCTTTCAATTCTGTCCAGAGTCTTGGACAATCCACAACCAAGCCACAGGTCAGACAGGAGGAAAAAAGATGATCTCAAATTGCCCAAGTCAGGTAATGACCTGGAGCACTTCTTGTCCTCCTTTCATTGACATCAATGCCAAGGTGCTGGTGTACACCAACGGCATGCTCCGTACAAACTCCTGCTACGTGGATTGTTGGGAAAAACTAGAGAAAATTATTACTGGCTCAAACCAACTGGAGGGGAAGGGGCAAGGCAAGTTCTGTGGAAGCTAGGAGCTGCACTGCTCCATTCCACACGTCCACTCCTAGTCCAGCCCAGAATGATTGTCAGGCACTGGCAACACCAAAAACAATGCCCCATGCCTGCCTCAATCTAGCCTCAGAGTGGCTGGATAACCAAAAGTCCCACCTGGGAGGCACAGCCATAGGAGGCCAGAGCAGGTAAAACCCACTGCTCTGAGTTGCATGCGGTTACTTGGCTATCATCCTTGGAGTTTGTGATAGCTGAGATTGCACTTGGATGCAAGATGGTAGCTTGGTTTTCTCTCTTTTTCACTCCTAACTTTCTCTTCTTGGGATATGGGTAATATAAGGTGCGGACACACATATTCACAGAGCAAGGGAATTACAGCTTGGAAATGCTTTTTCAGGCCTGGATTTCTCCTGACTCTCAGGTCCATTCCCAGGCTGACAAGCTGACTACAGCTTCAGTTATGGAGGCAGTCTCCCAGGGTGATAACATGGTGAAAAACAGAGTGGAATTCATAATAAACATTAACACCTGGTGTCTTTCCCGTGGGATACATCCTGAGGTGCTGTCCCAGGGATGTTTTTCCCAATTGTCCAATGAACTCCTGTCCTGTCCTAGCTGCACTAACACACTTTAAATACAGGCTGTGCATACAATAAATTGGCCTTTTTCCCCCAAAGAGCTCCGTGTGTGTTGCTGTCTTTTCTCTCTCTCTGCAGCGCAGTAAGCACAATAAGGCTGGATGGGTAGAGTTTGCTAAGTGAATTGCTTTACTCTGATTGACTCTTTTGTTTTAAATTTTGACAAATTCCTGCTCCTATAAAATTCGCCAGTAAAGTTCGATTTTTTAACCACCTGAGAATGTTGCAGCATTTCTCTTGTGTGTCCATCTCAAAAATAGTACCTTTTTAAAAGAAACTTGTCAAGTGAGCACTGGACCTCAACTGGTTTTACAGGGGATTGCTTGTTATTTGAATCCCTACAGATTACCCCCAGCACAGCTGATTCTCTCAGGTAGTAGATACCTTTCTCTACAGTGGTCCATCTGCTTGGGCACACTATTAGATCATCCTTTAGAGAGCATCTTTCCCTGACACTTGACAGGAGTTGCTTCCAGAGGCTGAGTCTATCCTCTTCCTGATCTCCCAGGACAGGGACACGATCACTGCATCACAGGACAGGGATCCCAGTTACCTGGCCACACTACCACCCAGCACTGCACCATCAGCTGCAATATCCCAGTCTGACGTTGCTCTGGGTGTTCCAGCAGCCACAGTATACACTTACACCACAATGCTGAACCTAAGGGTTTTTTTATCACCAAGCATCAACAAGAATTTTAGCTATCAGACAAAAAATATTATGACCAAAAATGGAAGGAGCAAATCAGAAAGCACAAAAATTATCTGGTTACAGTACCTGCAGCAGTAACTGGACTTGGGACTTTTGACTCCTAGAAGAAATCTACCTGTAAAAATATCCATTAGAAGAAAAGTCTGAGAAACATTTTTCACGAGTAATTCGTAGCACCTGCACACTGGCTACTGAAAATCCCGCAAGTTCACTCTTTCCACCCAGTCAGTATAGAGTGTTCTGACTCCTAGCATTCTGTTTCATTACTCCATTGCTTTCTGCCTTGACAGAACCAAATCTACCCTACTTGCTGATAAAGAGGATATTTTCAAGACATCCAAATAAAGGAAAATCTTCCAGGTTATACTGCCATAAGTACTGAGGAAAAATTATGTCTTTATTTAAGATAATTCATTAAGTAGACATGTCATCTGTGCATATGTCACCCTGTAAGAAGGATGCGACTCAACTATTTTATTTTTTTAAAGAGAAAAGAAAGGGGTGCAATCCAAGGCTGCTTGCAGACTGTTCTCCCAGCTTAAAGATGAAAGGACAGAAGGAAAAACACACAAAAAACCATAAATGCCTATTTCTGCAAGCTTGGTAACAGCAATAGAAGACAGCTGCAGTTAGGTAAATGACTGATACAAATACACAGGATCATGGAGCAAAAAAAGTCATTAGCAAACTACAGTATAGAGAAGAAGTAATTCCAGCCCGGTGTACTCACAACACCTGCTATGCCATCACATGCTTTTAAGACTAACTAAAATTCTAACTCAAACCCTACCAATGGCACTGTCTTTGCATCACTGATGCACAGGTCTAGGCTAAGGATGCTCAGCTTTACATCTGGAGCACAAAGGTGTTGAAGATAGTTTCCTTACTCAATGACTCTGTGGAATAAGAGGATATTCTCCAATTCCTAGGGAAAGAAGTGCTGATTTTAAACAGCAGAAAAGTAAGTCAATTCTGAAAAAATTATTTGAACATCAGCAACAAGATCAGGAAAGCTCTCTGGTGCTAGCTTCATATTAAAAAATCCAAAACAAACAGCCAAACAAAACCAAACTCAAACAAAAAACAACAATCGAACCCACAAAACAAAAAAAAACCCTGCACAATAAGCAATACTGCTTCCTCTCTTTCTATTAATACAGGCTATCAAGCTGAATGGAGACAGTTTTCTTTTTTAATCAATTTCCTTTTAACCAATTTTAAGAACTCCGTTACAGGCAGATTTATGAAAAAAATATGGCAGACCATAGTTGGCTACACTTAAATAAGGATGGTTGAAAGTTCTCAAGCCCAGTAAAAACACACACAGGCCTGTCAACAAACTAACATGTCTCTGAAAGGTATGTTTATATTCCAGTATGCATTATTATCTGCAGCAAGTCACCATAGACACAGTATACACCCATGCATGCATGATCATTTAAGGCTGGTGCTTGCAGTCACAAAAACACTGGAATGCCAGTAGCTCCAAAAGGTCTTTAGAAACCTACAGACCATGCAGCTATTGGTATTTGGACAGCAAGGACAAACCAAGAGTTCCAAGCCACCATTTCTCACCTGAAGCAAGTATTTTCCTGCAGGAAGTACGAGCAGTCAAAACAAACCTGTAGGCAAGCAAGGAACAGAAGTATTAAGATAAGGAATTAACTGAAGCAAAAAAGAAAGGAATAGACTTACTCAGATGAACAATGAACTCATAAGCACTTCATAAGACTTCTTAATATGATGCACCAGTCCAAAGGACATGCAACTATTCTTTTTTCTCAAGATTAAAAAACCACACTGTATCCATGCAACTAGACAATCTAGAATGCAGTTTAAATACTGACAACAACCATTCGTAGGGCTGAGCAATAAATCCTTCCCCTGTCCCATGTACATTCTTTAGCTCAGTTCACAATGCAAGTGCTCACATGTGTACAGGACAGTGCCATACAGTCAGGACAGCCAGCGTCAGCCTATCAGCCTGCAAATTACAGGTACAGACAATACCTATCTTCTGCAGATACAGTTATAAATAAAATATGCAGTTACACAGAATTTATCATCCTCCTACTATTAAATTAGGGACTGTACTCTCCTTTCCTGGCCAAGAGGGAGAGTTTAAGTCAATATCATTGCCTGTCATGCAGTAACTACAGGAGAAAAAGAAAGTGCTACAAAGAGCTTAGTCAACTAAAGGTAAGAATTAATTACATGCTTCTTATGTTCCAGTCAAGGCAGTACCGTTATGAGCAATTACTACTCTAGCCTCATTCCCAACTTGACCTTAAAATGACAGGCAAACAGATTTTACTCTCAGCCTCCTCAAGTAAAATTGTATTTCCATTGAGGAGACTTCCACTAAGTCAGCAAGAGTGTAAACTACTGAACCCTTCCACAAGCTGACTTAGGTCAAGTAACATAAATCATACATTCATCTAAGCCATCTTCATTTATTACTATGAAACTTTAGAAGTCACACAAAAATTTAAAGAGAGAATTATACCATGACTGATCTTTGCTTAAGCCTTCTCGCTTGACTTTTTTTTTGGAAACTGGTTCTGCGAAAGGATCATTACTCATTATTATAAATTAAATGAACCCGCGTCAAAAGCACTGGTTACAGAGATGCTTCATTACAAACTGTTGTACAGATACTTACGTAAGGTTAATTCAAGTCATTACCATTGCTTTAACATCTCATTTAATTCCCTACTGCATACAACACAATAAAATTCTGCAATCTACTGTCATTTATTCTATTCAACCTAGACTCATGAACTTTCAGATATCTCTTGATTTATTTTTAAGCATTTAGGCTACAAACAACAGTCTGGGATCACAGTAGCATATCTGGTACCCAGATTTTCAGTCAATAAAGGAGATAAAACTGTTTCCCGAAACTGTACCTGCTCGGATTAACCAAATCCTGGAATGGCTACAGATTACCAACTGGCACAAAAATCCACTTAGCTGGCAATAGGCAGTATCTGAACACTGACCGGCCAGGAAGAACACCACAGTGCCTCCCAACCGAACGCATTACACAGTACGACGGGAAGTACCTTTGGGGTCAGCGAAAAGATGCACAGTAATTCTTGTTCTTTTAAAACGGTTTAAAGGAATAGAATGCACCGCGATTACAAAACGCTCCAGATTTAATGGGACAGAAAATTAACAGAAACCTCTACCCCGACGGTACCGTCTACGGAAGTCTCCCCCTGCCGTGCTGGACATCTGGCAGGGCAAGTACACGCTCCCCGCGGGTTCCTCGCTCCTGGGGCCGGGCAAGGCGCAGCCGCCCCGCCGAGCACCCCCGGGACCCAGACCCGCCGGGGCCCCGCACCGACAACGGGACCGCGAGGCTCCCTGCCGCACCCAGCCCGCCGGGCGCCGCTCCAGACCCGGCAAGTCCCCGCCTCGGGCCCCGGCACAGGCCCCGCCATGCGGCCCGTGCCCCGGCTCGGGCCCCGGCGCCGCCGCAAGGTCACTCGGCCCCCGGACGGGCCCGCGGCGTGCGCGCTCGGCCTGCACAGACTCACCTGCCCGCGCAGCTCCGCGGGCCGGCGGGCGAGGGCGGGAGACAAGGGCGGGGGAACGGCCGGGGCCGGCCCGAGCCGCGGGCCCGAGAGCGCCGGGCCGCAGCGAGGCGGGAGCGGCCCCGCTCGGCGCTCCGGGGCCGCAGGCGGGAGGCGCCGCCCGGCCCGGCCCTTTGTGCGCGGGGACGCGCCCGCCTGGCCTCCCTCCCCGCGTCTCCCCGCCGCGCCGCGGGCCAGCAGCGCAGCGCAGGGCTGGGCAGGCGGCCCGGCCTGCCCGGGCGCCGCTGCACTCTTACCGAGGGATCTGTACGGGAAAAAGGGTTAGAACGGAGCCACGGCGCCCCGAGCCCCGCGCACCGACCGCAGCCGCACAAAATGGCCGCCGCGATGCGGCGCCGCCGGGAGGGCGGGGTCCGGGCGGGAGCCCCGTCCACTCCGGCCGGGGGGCGCGCGCAGGGGGTGGGGCCGGGCACGGAGCCGTGAGGGGCGGCACTGGCGAAGGAGCCCGAGGAGAGCGGGCGGCGGGGCCGGGCGGCGGGAGCTCCGCCTGCGGTGGGACACAGCCATTGTACCCTGCAGGGAGCGTAAGCGCGAGGGTGGCACAGCGGTGAAATACAGCAGGGAGCTGGCGGCCTGACCCCCTGAGCCTCCTGGGAGGCGGATGTCGGGATGCTGGCGCTCGTGGACGTACCGCCCGTGGCCATCGCAGCCACTGCTCACTGGGCTCGGTCCCCTCGACTGCTGGGCCATGTGCCGAGGAGCGGATGGGCCTGAGAAGTGCCCATCCGAAGATGTCGTCATTGCCCCTCAGCCCTGTTCACCCTCTGGTACAGCCAGAAGACTGTGGGTTCTGCTGTGGATAACAGAGCTGTTTATGGGGAAATCCATATTTTCTTTTTCTTTTCTTCTCTTTTTTTCTTTTTTCTTTTCCTTTTCCTTTTTTTGTTTTATGCTGGGTTAAAGCCCAATCCAGATTGACACAGAAGAGCAAAAATCTAGGTATGCTGGAATTCTTAATGTCAAATATTATAGTTTTACTATACATATACTTTACAAATACATAGTTTTACTATGTGTGGACAAATTCTCCCTGGTTCGGGTAGGTTTCCTGGGATAATCCTTGAAGTTCTGTTCAGAGGCCACAGACCAGTTGAGGATTGCTACCTGGCAGGATTCGGGATTGAGAGTAACTGCTGTGGCCAAAGTGTCCACTTAGTGCCAGGGCTGCCGGTGCTATTGGGCTTCGGAGGAAGACACAGTACGGCCCAAGTGCTTTTCCCTTCCTTCTCCTCCAGCTGCAGGAACTGCACAAATCTGGCTGCTTCTTTGACATCAGCCTCAGCCCAATGCCACAAGCATCACAGAACCCAGAGAGCACAAAGGATGGTTTAAAGCAGAGTGTTCCCATCACTGTACAGCAATAGCTGCTAGTGTATTTCTGACAGAGCCTGTGAACTATGTGCTGGGAATCTGTGGAAGCAGAATGGCTTGCTAAGAATACTGCAACGGGGGGAAAAAAGTTGAAAATACAGTTTTCAGTTTATATTTATATTTTAACCTGGAAATCTCTCAAATGGTTTTAACACTGCAGGTTTCTAGGAAATTAATTTAAAATTGCAGAAAGAATTAAAATAGAAAGCAACTGGAAAATAACACTAAAGTTTTGAGAGAAATAGAAATTTATTTTATTTTACCTAAACTTCAGCATAGCATTTGTGTAATGAGTTTTTTGACAGCACTGTATTTCATTCTGGATTTTCATCACTTAAAAAAACCCACAGGACTCTTAGCACACCTGCCCTGAGAACCACTTCCTTCTCCTCTGAAATGGGTCTTCCTAGATCCCACTGGACTCCTCTGCTTTGCTGTTCCCACTAAGAGCACATGGCTTTTGGTAGTTCAGGGATGTATCTGTGGCAATGTGTGGCATTTCTCCTTGTTCACTGTCCAGGCGTCTCACTTCTCTACCTGCTGTTCGTGTCCATGGTTAAAACTGATGGTGAGTCCTCAGACATTTGGCATACTGCCTGTTGTGGCTGGTCACGGAGCAGCAGCCCTTCCCAGGAAACAGAAGTGCTGCTCTGCCAGATACCTGGCTGCTCTCTCCTGTGCTGACGTGGGTCACTGACAGACCCTGCTTGGATCAGCTAGATCACTTTGGGTGCAGTGTTTCCCTACACATCAAAGAAAGTAGTAAATGTGGACAAACTAAGCTTTGTGGCCCAGGAAGGAGCCCAAACTAGTGAGAACAGAGGCAGGAAGCACTGCTTTCCTCTGTTCCTTCTGCTCATCAGACCTTGCCAAGACTTCGGGCAGAGACCTCCTTGCTCCTGCCCTTGCTGAGCTGCTGTAGTTCTGCATTGTGAACTTCAGTGGATTTCTCTGCAGGGATGTCACCATGCTGGGAACATCACAGTCTGTGCCAGTTGAATGTGGTGTGGGGCTCACGGCCCTCGTGGCTGAGCAGCACATGTGGCACAGGGGAGCTGGGGTGCAGGCAATGCTCCTCCTCCACTTGCCAAGCTGGAGAAGAACTGCAGCTGGAGCGTGTGCCAGAAACTGCTCTGGGAGCAGAGGAACACCGTCCCTGGGCTGTGCCCCTCGCTGTTTCCCAGGAGCCCCGTGGTAATCAATCACTGCACCTCCAACAGATTGCTCTGCCTGGCTCTTGTCCTTGTGCAACAAGCGAGGCTGGCAGGGCTCTGCAGCATAAAACCTGCCCCAAGGAACCAGACGGGCTGGAGGAATGGGCACGGAACACTGTGCCAAATCCAGCCAAGAAGGGGTAGGAAGTGAAAGCAGATTCACCAGCAGAAACCAGGGCAGGGGAGACTGGGAAAGCAGCAGAGAGGTGTCTGGGCTGAAGGGGAGCCTGAGGAGAGGGCTTTCCCTCAGCCTGTATTTCTCTACTGTTTCTCAAGATGTGAGCTAGGAATTAGATCTTGCCAGGGATGAGCCAAATATCCAGTTTCCTGCAATTTCCCCAGCTGTGGCTGCTTGACCATGACATGGAGGAAGGTCTACAAAGGGAAGGAGGGAAAAGCAGTACCCAAACTCAGCATCTTTGGAGTGGCAATTCCTCCCGTTCCTTCCTGCTGGTGAGGACGCTTTGCCTCACAGAATGACAGGACAGGGCAGGGGGGAAGGGGTCTGTGGACAGGAGTTCTCACTGCCGGGTCACACAGAAAGGGTGGCCCACAGGGCTGTCCAAAGGGGCCTCCAGGTGGGCCCCCCTCCCCCTAGATGTGATGGGCAGTTTCCGTGTGACACAATGTCAGTGCGGTGATGTGACAATGCGGTGATGTGACATCACCGTGATGTAACAATGCCCAATGGCTATATTTAGCCAGGAGACCAGTTAGCCAAGAGTCAGCGTGGGATCACAACACCATGAAAGGTCTTGGCAGGAGCTGTGGAGCCCCATCTCACTGCTGGTGCCCTGCCACAAGGCAGAGGCACTTCTGAGTGCACTGGGAATTAGGGGGGAAGGGGACCACTGAGCCGATAAGAGAGGGCTCTGCTGGGGAGATTGGGACATGGGGTGATGCTCTAGGGCCTCAGGACTGCCGTTCAGGAGGTTTATTGGGCAACACCTGAGTGTCTGTCTTCCCATTTCAGCCCCAGAAGACCACACCTGGGAGGAGATACCAAGAAAATGGACCCTGAACTGCTAAACCTCCCACTTGCAGTCAAGATCCCTGTGGCACCTGGAACCAAGCCTGTCTTCTCCAGGGGAAAGCTGGGTGAAAAGGTAAATGAAGGGGAGAAAATCTCTCATTTTCCATAGAGTCCTCCATCATGCTAAGATTATCATGCAGCAACCTGATCTGCAGTAGGAGCTGCAGCCCTTCAGTTGGAGACAGGACTGGATAAGGGAGGCTCCCTGGAATGCAGAGGAGAAAGCACTTGTCCATCTTCGCACTGGTTTCTGGCACTGTGCATGTGTGTGGCCAGGTCCCTGCCTGCAGCAGGCAGCTGTGTTTGTCCAGGTGCCAGGGCAATGAGCCCCTCCAGCTCATCCCACAATGTTAAACCAGGCCCTGGGGCACCTCTGAGGGAGATTCCAACCTTCTCCTGCTTGCCTTCCCAGCACCTTTGAAATAGCTTGGGCTTTCCTGCTTGGGGAATACATACACTGTTGTCCTCCAGCTTGCACTGCACCTTCCCAAGGTAGAGACTTTCTGGAGGCAGAGGCAGCTGACACAGCCCTTGGGCCTGCCTAACCTGGTTTTGTCCATTCTCCACTGGCTGCATTTGAAACTTAGAAGGTTCATTTGTGGATGAGTCTGCAGTTCTTCCTGGTGGCCTAAGATACCTTTGATGGTGGGGTTGCTGTGAGGTTTGTCTTCCCTAACCCATCACAGCCCAGCCTGGCCCAGCCCAGCCCTGTAGTCTCTGTGTGCAGGTCTCTGCCTACAGAAGGATGGAGAAGACCTTTACCTTTTCACAAGTACCATGTGGTACCTCTTTGCTGCCCTCTCCTGCCTTCTTCATACTCTGGGAAACATCTCTTACAGCTCCACCAGCCACATCCTGACTTCAATCTGGACGATCCCTACATCCACCAGCTCAGCCCAGCATACAACTGCCTGCATGACCCTATCCTTCGGGACTACCACAATCGCAAGGACATCCTGCGGATGCTGAAGAGACGGGGCGTCATCACCCTTGACAAAAAGGTAGGTTTGGGTGTTGGGCTGATCTAGAACAGCCCTCTTCAA